ATTGAAATTAAGGAATGAAAGTTATTTTAAATTAAAGCTCAAAGCTTTCTCTTTAAAATGATGTATAATAATTGTTGGGTTGGATTGGAAAAATATTAAGAAAAAAAATGTTGAAACAACACTTACATTTAAAAGAGTCAAACTTCTAACCTCACATCTGGATGAATAAGTTTAAAGTGTACCTAAAAATCCTACAGTGCGGATTGCGACGTTTTTTATACAGATTGTTTCTTGTATACACTTGTATAGTAGAAAGTACAGACAGCTCTAAATGCGCCGAATAGATAACTACAGTTTAAAATGAGTGTTTAAAATTACCGGTACTTTAAAGTACCGTCGGGACAATAGGCTTAATATACAAAAATAGATAAACAAAAATTTACAATATAGCAGCGAATCGCAATCATCAACCCAACCCAATTCAGGTTTCACTATTCGTAGAGATTTGAAATTTTGGTAACATGGGTTGTTCATTCGGAACTTATATTATATTATAACAATTTTCGTTTATTTAAATGGAAACAACCACTGATTATTCGCTTATTAAATTCGTTATTTTTTTCTGATTACAAAAATATGGGGTTAGATAGGTCTATTTCTTATTGCTTTAGAATAAAGCTAAAAATAAACTTTTTTTTAGTGCAAAGAAATTAAATTTACAGTTTCCTGTAAATTACGTAAAATAATTTATATAAAATTTATTTTATTTTTAATATGTAACATTCTAACATATTAAACTATTCGTAATTTTCGTAATGTATCTTAAAAACAGGATTTTTAATTTAACATTACAGAAAAGTTTTGAATACAAACAAATGTTGCTATGTTTATTTAAATTAAATAAAAAATATATGAGCGCCATCTATCAATAATTTATTAAGTCATTTAATAATAATATTAAATATTAATACAAAATGTGAAATAATGCAATCTATTCCAACTTGTGTGTAAATCAAATATAAATTAAATAGTTCAACAAATGTATTTGTTTCAAATATCAGAAATATGTTCTTTTAGTTTTTAGTTATAATTTACAGGAAACTGTAAATTTAATTTCTTTGACAACAAAAAAGTTTATTTTTAGCTTTATTCTAAAACAATAAGAAATAGACCTGTCGAACCCTATATTTTTGTAATCAGAAAAAAATAACGAATTTAATAAGCGAATAATCAGTGCTTGTTTCCATTTTAAAAAACGAAAATTGTCATGATATTTCAAAATCTAAAACCGAAATATTTTCCGAGTTAGCCTATTCGGACATCGAATTTGAACCACCTGTACATACTCCTACAAATATTGGAATTTAGAGATTAATAATAGTTTCTTTGGCAATATATCGATTTTTCTGGATGGACTACACTTTAATACACATTTTAAGTTGAAAAGTATTGTAAATATTTCGATCAATTAAAAATACAGAGAAAATGTTTCGTGATTTAAGTCAATTTTGAATCAAACTGGTTTTCATTACAACATTTCAATAGTACACTTTGCCTACAAATTATTTTAAATACTTGTATGTTTTATAACCTTTCAAATGAGGTATTAAGGAAGGCTAAATGTCCTTCTAATTAGTTAATAAAATCAATTACACTTAGATACTATTTATTTTAACTTATAGGAACTAAAAAATGTTAATTCTTGAATACAATAAATGCTGAGGTTGATATCAATCTTCGAATATTTTATAGGATAACAATTGGAGCCTTCATTCAAAAAACCATAAAAATTAAGCAATTTTATGTGTCATAACTCAATCATAACTACAAGTCTGCTTCAAAAACTGCACCTGTTTCTTCAAACTGTTTCTGAAATGGTTACTCCAAGAAAGTTTATGCTTTTATCTGTAATTTCAGTAAACCTTTCTTGGTTAAAGCCTTGCATTATTGCTCCCAGTATGCTTAACAGGGCAGTTTTAACAGATTTACGTTTTTGATAACCATGTTGACAATTTATAAACAATTTATTATTCTTGAAGTGGTTTACCAATTTTTCATTTACTATAATTTCAAGTATTTTTGATAAAATTTAGCTCTTTCGGAAAAACCCTTTTCAGTAAACATTTGTTTATAACAAAACATAGGTGTTTGCTTATGATTCGTTCCACCTTTTTTTTTTATTAATAGTAAAAACAGTTTATATATCCTTGGTGTTTGTGGCAAGTATGCAAAATTACTATTCAAACACCTTCCAAAAGCAAATATTTGTGTTGTATATGAAATTTTATTATCATTTTTGTACCCACTTTGTATTTTCCGCAATTTTTATAATAATTTAACTGACTTTAAAGTTTTTTGAAAAAACCAGTGCTTATATTTATCTACATAAAAATACAATCTTGCCTCTTCATTGAATAACGTTTTTTGTTGTCAACTGTTAATAAAATGCTTTTTTGGGCAAACCACTTCCAACTAAAATCATCCTAAAATCCTTTCAATGGAAGTACTTTTCATACTGTCTCAATTTTTGCCGAAGCGTCTAATTCAAGGCAATTATCGAAAAAATTTGGTTTGATCGTTGAAATTTTGTCATTACGAGTTGATTTATTGTTTGAGTTTTTGCTCATTGTCGAGTGTCCCTCCATTACCATATTCCAAACTAAAATAGAAAGAAAAAAATTAGTACTAAGTAAAAAGTGAGGTTAAAAATTTTTGTTGACATTTAACTGTCAATTTTTGTGTTTGTGGAATGACGATTTTATTTAATTAGAATCTTTATATTAATTTATTTATGAAATTAATGAAGGTTAATGTATTTATTTTTAATGAATTTTTAAATATTAGAAATAATTAATTTAAATTTATTTAAAAAAAAAAAATATGAAATAGCGCCATCTAGGGGTTTTAATTGCAACTTGATTGATATCTTATTAATTACTAACTTCACTTTGTTTACTTTTATGAACATGTTTTTACTTGTAAATCCAAACGGAATTTTACATTTTATTAAATTATATATTATTTATACAAAAAAATCCTTTTCTACTTAACACCATCAATTTATTGTGATATAATTTTAAAAAATTTAGAAGTGCAATCTTGTTTAAACGCCAATTTTTCGTGACAACTTAAAGTCGAAACATGTAAAGCAGGTTATTTTAAACTTAATTAACAAATAAAAAAGTACAGGAACTACAATTATCATAATTTTTCATTTCTAAACTGAATAAGACATTTGATGCCCAATTTTGTTGCTAAGAAACATTTTTGGAAACATTCCAATATGTAGATATGTAGGGATAGGTCAAGGTTATAAAAATGAAATGTTTTAATTAATAAACACCTTTTCGTGCTTATTTATTGCACTTACATAGCTTAAGATAAAATTTTTTTTGGATTATGATTACATTTTTAATTTATAAAAATACGACGCAGGTTATAAACTAAGTTACTCTAACCTTAAATATTAAGGAATTATTATATTACATAAAAAAATTTGATTCGAGATCGTTGCATTAATCATGGAAGAAATAATTGTTTTTATCGAAACGCTGAAAAATCTCCGACATTCACAGCAACAACCGTGACGTGATCTAATTTCCCAGGTAAATTTTGCACCCTTTCCAAAGCTCGTTTCCTCCTCCCCTTCTTTTCTAAATTAGACACCTCGACCATAACCCCATTACGATTATCGAAATATAACTCGTTATCTTCTAAAGTTCTTCGTTTCGCAGCTGTAATACTTAATGTGAAACTCATTAAACTTTCGCATAACTTTTTTGCGGTAACACAACGATTTTCTCGCCCGGAAATGCCATTTTTTAAGATATCCTCCATCAATAACAACGTTAAATCGTAACGTTGAATTGGAGTTATAAACGGTAATCCCTCCGAATTTCTTTGAATGATAATATTTTTTTGAGACAAAGTCGGTTTTCTCAAATCAATTGATGTTTTTGATCGTAAAAAGTTATAATTCGATTTTTCCCGATTTGAAATCGTTGAATCATCATTAACGGATAACGTTCGATTAAAATTTTTAACCAAATTTGTGTCCACAACGTTTTTATTTTGATTTAAAACGTTTTGCCTGTTTGAACTCGTCGAATTTCCTAAATGTTTTCTTGGCGGCTTAATTGGAGCCGTTTTTCCAACCGAATTTTCGTTCAATTTCCCATCTTTATTTAAGTTATTTAAGTTAACAGCAAATTTACACACGTTTGGGTCAAAATTATCTGTTAATCCATCGCTTGCAATAAAAACGACATCCCCTTTTTGCACCTTCGTTACTGATAATGTGAGATTACTCAATTCGGGGTTAATCCCATCAACGGGTCCTAAAGCCCCCAAAGCATCTCGCATATCTCGGTTACTCAAAACATCGTGAGATCCTTTCGTAATCTCTCTAACACCATGTTTTTGCGAATAAACGTACGCTAAAGTATCTCCAACGTTGCAACAACAACACACAAATGATGTCGTTTCTTTTTCAGGGGTGCTTTTGAGCGGGAGAATAACTGCGACGGTTAAAGTGGTAAGCATTCCTTCGTTTTCTAGTATTAAATCGTGGGCGCAATTAAACGCGCGGAGCAAACTCACAAAAACATCTCTCGTATCCGTCATGTGGGTGTCGTGTAACGGCGTTTCCGATTTATTAAGGGATTCGAAGGGTTTTGTATCGTTAAATATCGTTTTGTTGAGGTAATGAAGGCTTCCGTGGATTGCCGATTTCGCTGCTATACAAGCTTTTTCACCTAAAAAGTTAATAAAATATTTCAAATTTGACAGATTAAAAAAAGTGAGGTTAGATTTGATTAAAATAACTGTGAAGTTACTTTTGATAAAAAAAAGTGGGGTTAGGTTTGATAAAAATGAGAGTAAAGGTAGATTCGATATAAAAAGTGGGAAAAATTCAATGATTATGTCGATTTTTTTTTAATCAATGTGAAATGGCTTAAAAAATATACAGGGTCATCCACGACGACCGACCATTAGAACTTTACAGGGTTCTGGCCAAAATACAAATTTGAAAATTCAGATTTAAGTATTATCAATTGCGTTCTTTTCGACTAAAATATTTTCAAATATCTAACACTTCCGATTATACCGGAAGTCACCACCTACTTTATTTTTTTAAATGGAACACCCTGTATATTTTTACATATTTGGATTTGTCTGTTTTCAAGGTTTATGAATGACTTTACTTTTTGCAAATTGATTCGGCCGTTCTCGAGTTATTCGAATTTTTCTAGAAAAATCTGCTCCAGCAGACATTTGTTCAAAAAATCAGAGAACATTCGATTTTTGAGATATCAATTTAGGATTCAGAACATGCTTAAGCAACATGATGGAGTACGTTTTGGTGCCGAGTATGGCTGTCTAGAACGTTTGGTCACTTTACTATGGCACGTTACCTTTTCGAAACTTGGAAGTACCATAACTTCATTTCTTTAAATGGCACCCCCCATATTTTATTACTTAGTCGTCTTCGGTGTCTCATTTTACATCTTTTATATCCCATATGTCCTATACCTAACATTTATAATTTGGGAAATAATTAGGGTTTATTGAAAAACGGCCGAATCAAATTGCAAAAAGTAAAGTTATTCATAAACCTTGAAAACAGACAAATCCAAATATGTAAAAATATATAGGGTGTTCCATTTAAAAAAATAAAGTAAGTGGCGACTTCCGGTATAACCGGAAGTGCTAGAAATCTAAAAATATTTTAGTCGAAGAGAAAGCAATTAATAATACTTAAATCTGAATTTTCAAATTTTTGTATTGGCCAGAACCCTGTAAAGTTCTAATGGACGATCGTCGTGGATGACCCTGTATAATAGAATATACAGGGTGTTTCATGAGGAATGGTACATATGTTATAGATTTATTCATTTTAAGCAGAAAAGTTCCTAAAAACATATGCTTAACACTAAAAGGTAAAGAGCTAGTTAATGCATAAACTGATTTATTTAAATGTGTACATAAAATAAAAAAAAAATACAACTTTGTGTTGTATCTCAAAAATCATCTAATATTTTCAAAAATTTTCAACGGCAGTATATTCTACTTAAAAAAGTGTCTTAAGGACGTATCAACCCCATTTTTCTAATTCCAAAAATAAACGAAATATGAGCATTTTTTAAAATCACGAAAATTTGACTTTTTAGCTATAACCTAAAAACAAAAGAAGATAGAGGTTTGGTGTTTGCGGAATTGGAATTGCCTACTTTTTTCGTATCTCTTATAGTTTCTGAGATAGCCTATAATAACACCTAAATTTGCCCACCCTGTACATAAAATATCGAAATTCGGACTTTAAAGGAGGGGTTCGAATATCGCACCGTCTATCTCGGTGCACTTTTTTCATTGATTACAAATATGTCAAAATTGACGTTGACATTCCTAGCCGGAAGTTGACCATTTTAAAGGATTTTTAATGAAGATTACAAATATGTCAAAATTAAGGTTGACATTTTAAGTGACATGATGATTCTTGAATTATACCACAAACTGAGGTTATTATTTTAATTCGATAAAAATAAAAAGTGAGGTTCAAATTTTTTTATTTACCCCAATTAACTCCATCAGCAACGGCTAAAATCGCGGAATCCTTTCTTGAAATAACCCCAAAACAATCGGCGATGGGATCACCATTTTTTAATTTCGTCACTAAATTACGGTCGTATAATGAATCGGAAAGACCGTAAACGTGTTCGGAGGTGCGATTCCACTCGATTGGGAGTAAATGATCGGGTTTTGTTAAAGATGAGGCATCCGAGATGTCGGAGGCGGCTGAAACTGTTTAAAAATGAATTAGTTTGTTAAAAATAAATCATTTTTTACAAAAAGGCCATGCTAAAATCATGCGACAAAAAAAATAATAAATAATAAAACATAACAAAATTAAATTTGGCCTTTTAATACGGATAATCCTCCCTTTTTTTTGTGATGAAGCGGATTTCGTAACCTCTTTTTTATGAACTTTCTTTATTCTCGACTTATTCTTGTTTAATTTTTCAGTCTTATTATTTTTAACTTCTCATATTCTCAGTTTTCTCAGAATTCAAATCGGATAGTGACTCAAGGTTATAAAGATACATTTTTAGACTTTTCCCAACAGATGGCGCTATCTTTATGCGTCTTTTGCAACGTGACGTTTTTTTGACGTTTCATTAGAAAGAATTTCTATTTAACTAATTTTGTATTATAGAAATAAAACTAAAACTAAAAATTTTAAGGTTATGCAAAATTTCTAGTTTTAGTTTTATTTCTTATTAAATCGACAGAAAAGTACGAAAATTTTGCGACTAAAATAATTTTTTGTTTAAACGTTTTTAACCTGCCGTTACCATGGCGATTTATAACCAATCTAACTTTATCGATATTTTTTGACATTTCCATTTGTATCAATCTTAATTTATTCTAACCTCACTTTTTCAAGTGACATTTTTGACGTTTCACCTAAATGAAGTTGGTTAAAGTTGGCGCTATCTCTATACGTCTTTTTCAAATGACATCTTTTGACGTTTCATTAGAAAGAATTTGTATTTAACTAATTGTGTGTTAGAAATAAAACTAAAACTAGAAATTTTAAGGTTATACAAAATTTCTAGTTTTAGTTTTATTTCTTATTAAATCGACAGAAAAGTACGAAAATTTTGCGACTAAAATAATTTTTTGTTTAAACGTTTTTAACCTGCCGTTACCATGGCGATTTATAACCAATCTAACTTTATCGATATTTTTTGACATTTCCATTTGTATCAATCTTAATTTATTCTAACCTCACTTTTTCAAGTGACATTTTTGACGTTTCACCTAAATGAAGTTGGTTAAAGTTGGCGCTATCTCTATACGTCTTTTTCAAATGACATCTTTTGACGTTTCNCAAGGTTTATAGAACATAAGGTTACCTCATTCCCTATGCCTCTGTAGTATCGATTATTACCCCGCAAATTGACGTCACTGGTTCGATACAGTCAGAATAAAAGATAGCCTATACATGTGCCTATACGTGACAACACGATGCGAGGTTTAAATATTTTATATAGACTGTACCACAGTATAGGTGGTGTTGTGTTGTTCATAGAACCAGCTACGTCACTGACCCACCTTGCCTCTCAGAGGAGGAGAATCGGTATTGGGTAACCTTATGTTCTATAGACCTTGATTTGTATCAATCTTAATTCATTCTAACCTCACTTTTTCAAGTGACATTTTTGACGTTTCACCTAAATGAAGTTGGTTAAAGTTGGCGCTATCTCTATACGTCTTTTTCAAATGACATCTTTTGACGTTTCATTAGAAAGAATTTGTATTTAACTAATTGTGTGTTAGAAATAAAACTAAAACTAGAAATTTTAAGGTTATACAAAATTTCTAGTTTTAGTTTTATTTCTTATTAAATCGACAGAAAAGTACGAAAATTTTGCGACTAAAATAATTTTTTGTTTAAACGTTTTTAACCTGCTTACCATGGTGATTTATAACCAATCTAACTTCATTTCTATTTGTATCAATCTTAATTCATTCTAACCTCACTTTTTCAAGTGACATTTTTGACGTTTCACCTACAGTCAGTCCCAAAAGTCATCGTACACAAATGGTTTCCGCATGATTTCCAAAACGTGATCGTAAATAAAAGAATTTTTTTATTACCATACATGTAATTATTTATTTTTAACAGATTTATAAACAGAAAACACTGCAATTTAACAAAATAACTAAATTACTTAATAATTCTTCAAAATCGTTCCATTGCAATCTCACAAAAGTAATCGTACATCTGAAAACCGACAGGGGTTTCCCCGTCTCTTTGTCAATTACGTGGGATTTCCCGTGCAGCTAGTCTAACCTGCCCTACATCTAGTAATCGTTGCTCTCCGTTTGTCAAAAAAGTGTCATGGCTCCCCGGAGAACGGAAACAAGTGTAGAAGTGAGAAAAATTGTTATAAAATTACATAATGAAGGTCGATCTATACGTGAAATCGCTAAAACACTTAATAAAAGTGCTTCTACAATTCAGTATATAATTAAAAGGTTTGTGGATACCGGAAATATTGAAAATGCTCCGCGCACTGGCCGTCCAAAATTGTTGACTCCCCGAGAAGAACGAAGCATTAGGCAAGAAGTCAACGCAAACCCTCGGATAAGTGCCCCAAAAATAGCGACAAACGTCCAAAACAAATTTAATAAAACCGTAAGTGCAGAAACTGTGCGAAGGGTTTTGCGTGGTGCCGGGTATAACGGACGAGTACCACGAAAGAAACCTTACATTAGCGATGTTAACAAAAAGAAACGAATCGAATTTGCAAAAATGCATAAAGATAAAGATATGGACTTTTGGAAAAGGGTCATCTTTACAGATGAATCAAAATATAACATTTTTGGATGCGATGGTACGGGTAAAATTTGGAGGAAGGCCGGTACAGCCCTAGATTTAAAAAATCTCCTACCAACAGTGAAACATGGCGGTGGATCCGTTATGGTATGGGGATCCATGGCTGCTTCAGGAGTCGGTAGTTCAGTCTTTATTGAAAATATAATGAATAAGTGGCAATATTTAAATATTTTAAAGGCTAATTTAAAGCAAAATGCTATACAATTGTGTCTTGGAAGTAATTGGATTTTCCAACAAGACCAAAACCCAAAGCATACAGCACATGTAGTTCGCGAATGGCTTTTATATAATGTGCCCAAGCAGCTACATTCTCCTCCACAATCACTGGATATTAACCCCATAGAGTATGTGTGGGATTACTTAGAAAAATCTATTAGAATGCACAACATTAGTAGCAAGGAATCCCTAAAAGCTGCATTACAAGTAGAGTGGGATAAAATTCCGGCATCATACACTGAAAAACTTGTTCAATCTATGAGAGAAGACTAAAAGCTGTACTTAAAGCGAACGGAGGACCAACCAAGTACTAGTACCAGCTTGGCTGCGTCTTTAATTACAACTTTTGGATCTGTACGATCACTTTTGTGACATTCCAATGGAAGAATTTTGAAGAACTATTAAGTTATTTTGTTATTTTGTTAAATTGCAGTGTTTTCTGTTTATAAATCTGTTAAAAATAAATAATTATGTGTATGGTAATAAAAAAATCCTTTTTTTACAACCTCATTTTGGATATTATGCAAAAATCGTTGGTGTACGATGACTTTTGGGACTGACTGTAAATGAAGTTGGTTAAAAAAAAATAATGATAAAAAACACAATAGTATTCAAATTTCACTTAAAAATCAAATGGCCATGCTAAAATCATGCGAAAAATAATAAAATAATAAGTCCCAGCAAATTCACAGCACAAAAAAATAAAATTTTTCTTTTCCATGCCAATTACCGGTACTATTTGGCCTTTCAATACGGATAATCCTCCCTTTTTTTTTGTGATGAAACGGATTTCCTTCACTTTTCGACTTGGAGAGCTCATTTTGTTTTGGTTTTTCTAACATAACCTCTTTTTTATGAACCTTCCTTGTATTCTTCTTTACTCTCGGTTTATTCTCATCATTTAAGTTTTTAATTTCGTTATTATTTTTAACTTCTTTGATAGTTTCCTCAGAATTCAAATCAGATAGTGACCCCATACTATGACTTTTATGTTTTTTCGCGTTGGTAACAAAATACTCTTGACCCCCCACTTTAATAACCATCGTCGAATTATCAATTGGAGCACTATTTCTTGGACGATTTTTTAAATCAACAGAAACTATTTCAATTTCAAATTCTTAAATGAATTAACCCCTTTATTTATTACTTACCATTTTCTTCTTGTGTATCAATAAAATCGATTTCAGCCTCTGCTATTGAAAGGTGTTTTTCAGTTCTTTTAACAGTTGCTAATCCCCCATTGGGGCCTGTATGGCACCCCACGATACATTCCGGCCCGATTTTGTATGTTCCTAAGTCGTAATTGGGTAAATCAGTTGGGGTTTTTCCAGAGATAACTGGAGGATTTTCTTGTAGACGAATCAATCTAAAATTTATTATTTATTTAACCAGGGAATTTCAAAAAAATCGAATTTACTTACCCTTGAAGGTATTTTGTTACAAAAGAGTTCTCATTGACGTTGAATCGTTTATCTCGAGTCTCGTTATTGAAGGAAAGTTGTCGGAAATACGAACTAACGCGTTTTCTTAAGGAAGGCATTTTAGAGTAACCTAAAAATTATTTTTTGACAACATAACCTCAAAAAACAAAAATTAATCACTTTAACTTATAACAAAGGAATAAAAGGTTACAATAATCGTTAATTACTCACCAATGAGGTATTTTCGTAATAGAACGGCGTTTATTAACCCACACAGCGTCAAATTCCTTTGTATTATGTTATTTGGTCATCGTTTTAGTGTTTACCTTTGAGTCTTTACGGTGCTTTTTCCTGCGTGTTGATAACCAAGTCACGTTTTTCGTTCCCTTTTACGAACGTGATTGGGATAATAATCGATTGATAATAATATTAATAATAAAGAAAGATTTCGTCACTTTGTTATTGCAATTTTTTTTTTGCATCTGTCAATTTGAAATGATTTTGTTTGGAAGATTTGCCAAAAGGTGGCGCTTAAATTTTAATAATTTAATTTATTTAAATGTGTGATAGAGGTTATAAATAATGTGATTAACCTTCGTGATGAAACCGATTGGCAAGTGATCAAAAATATGTGGGAACACGTGCGCGGATTCGCGTTATTGATGGCGCGTGCCGATTTTCACGTGGAGATGGCGTCACGTGTTTATAATTAAAATTTATTTGGCGGGAATTATGAATTTTGTTTAATAAATCAACTTAATTATTAAGTTTGGAACAATAATTTTATTTCTTAATGTATAATAACGTATTGACTTGCATAATCCCAATCATTTCGGGTCATCATAGGTTATTTTTTATTTGTTGCATTATTCGCCAAATACAGTTTTCTTTAATTTTTTTCTTGGTGTCATCAAACGTCATTTCTTGTTTTTCTATCTCAGGTATCTAAATCAATCTAAATAAGGGTTTATTGCACCTTATTTGTTATAAACCCCACTTAATTTGGATTTGTAAGAACAAAGAACTTAAAACTTTGGCGTATTTGGCACAAGAACGTTTTGGCAACGATCCATTTTTTTCATCAATACGTTTTCTACGTTATAAGTTAAAAAAATGTGTTTTATATCAAAACGAAGAGATGAAAAAAAATCATTTTTGGGGACACTTCCGGGTTCGTTTCCTTTACTTCTTATCGATTGGGTGAAATTTAATTCACCTTTGAGGCAGGTTCAGACGTAATTCTTTTTGGTAAATATTTACGAACCCAAACAACGCTTTATGCGCTATTTTTAGCCCCCTTTTTGCCCGCCGGTATAAAGCCTTAGCTTCTCCAACTGAGTCCTCAGTTTAACCAAAAACATATCTCGTTTATACCATAGTGAGTCAGAGTCGTTAAATAAAGAGTTATTTACTTAATTTTTATCCCTTTTTGGAATTAAATCCTTCAAAACGACGAGCCTTACAAGTCTATTTGTTTACAAATCCAATTACAAGTAAGTAACCTAAAAATAAAAAAAACCACTAGATTATATCAAAGTGTCAAAAATGACAGCTCGAATTATTTACAATTTAAAATATTGCGTCTTTTTAAATATTTATTAATATAATTTAATCGTTATTACGAGCGACACCACCAAAACAAAAACAAACCCAAAAAAACCCCAAACACGTCGTTTCCTTATGATTATTCTTGGACAATCTTTACATACTATGTTATTTTTGGACTGGTTTGGCAGTGCGAAAACGGTTTGGGTCGTATTTTTGGATCAGTTCGCCATCAGCTGTGTTATAAAATAATCACAAAATTTCATCAAAATCGAATTTTGATACAAATTTACCCCCCCATAAGTAAAACAACGCGAATTAGCGCCCGAAATAACCCCCAAAAATGGTGTTGCAATACTTTAGGTAACCCTTTGTTACGCAATTATCAAAAATAATCCCTTTTTGTGTCCGTAGGATGCCCACGGAGTGTATCACGAATCCCCTTCAACGGGAACTCGCCGATTCCATCATCCGAATGGTGCCGTTGGATGAAATTAGGATTCTTTTAGCATGTGGGGCGAAGGTAAGTGCGGAAAAATTCGAAAATCATGTTTATTTAGCCAGCTTAAGAGACGTGTGACATTTTTAATAAAGAATACATCATGAAAGAATACCATGAAGTTGTCCATATGTCTATTATATGATAACTAACTTCAGGTTTAAAATGTCAACCTCAATTTTGACATATTTGTAATCTTAATTAAAAATCCTTTAAAATGAGTACAAACACGACATATTTATCTTCAATATTAACGAAGTTATGGTCCACTTCCGGTTAGGAATGTCAACTTAAATTTTGACATATTTGTAATTGTCGTGAAAAATCCTTTAAAATGAGTCCAAACATGATACGTTTAATTCCAATAATACTCGAGATATAAGCAATTTTCGGTTTGAAATGTCAATGTCATTTTGATATATTCTTTATTTTAATAAAATGTGTTAAAATTTGTCACAAAAACGAAAATGTAATCAAAAAAATCAAAAATTAAGGTTGGTATTAATATTTAAAAATTAAATTGCTATCTTCATTTTTGCTAACTTCCGGTTTAACGTTTTTTATTCTAACTTTTTTGTTTTTTGAGATAAGTACGTCATGTTTGGACTCATTTTAAAGGTTTTTTAATAAAGAATACATCATGAAAGAACACCATGAAGTTGTCCATTTGTCTATTATATGATAACTAACTTCAGGTTTAAAATGCCAACCTCAATTTTGACATATTTGTAATCTTCATTAAAAATCCTTTAAAATGAGTACAAACATGACTTATTTATCTTCAATATTAATGAAGTTATGGTCAACTTCCGGTTAGGAATGTCAACGTCAATTTTGACATATTTGTAATCGTAACTAGCACTCATATTAAAGGTTTTTTTAATAAAAAATACATCATGAAAGAACACTATGAAGTTGCCCATTTGTCTATTATATGATAACTAACTTCAGGTTTAAAATGCCAACCTCAATTTTGACATATTTGTAATCTTCATTAAAAATCCTTTAAAATGAGTACAAACACGACATATTTGTCTTCAATATTAACGAAGTTGTGGTCAACTTCCGGTTTGAAATGTCAATGTCATTTTGATAAATTTTTTAATTTTAATAAAATGTGTTAAAATTTGCCACAAAAACGAAGATGTAATCAAAAAAAATCAAAAATTACGGTTGGTATTAATATTTAAAAATTAAATTGCTATCTTCATTGTTGCCAACTTCCGGTTTAACGTTTTTTATTCTAACTTTTTTGTTTTTTGAGATAAATGCAATATGTTTGGGCCCATTTTAAAGGTTTTTTAATACAGAATACATCATGAAAGAACACCATGAAGTTGTCCATTTGTCTATTATATGATAACTAACTTCACGTTGAAAATGTCAACCTCAATTTTGACATATTTGTAATCTTAATTAAAAATCCTTTAAAATGAGTACAAACACGACATATTTATCTTCAATATTAACGAAGTTATGGTCAACTTCCGGTTTGAAATGTCAATGTCATTTTGATAAATTTTTTAATTTTAATAAAATGTGTTAAAATTTGCCACAAAAACGAAAATGTAATCAAAAAAATTAAAAATTACGGTTGGTATTAATATTTAAAAATTAAATTGTCATCTTCATTGTTGCCAACTTCGGGTTTAACGTTTTTTATTCTAACTTTTTTGTTTTTTGAGATAAATGCATCATGTTTGGGCTCATTTTAAAGGTTATTTTATAAGGATTACGAATATAGTAATAAAATTAAAGTTACACTAAACTAATGAGTTAATAATTAATTTTATTAGGTAAATGAACCCGTAACTCAAGGATTAATGCCGTTGCACTACGCAGTGTGGCAACGTTATTACGAAGCAACCCAACTTCTCTTAACTCGAGGCGGGGATGTAAACGCCGTGGATGAATGCGGTTACAGCGCTTTACATCTCTCCGCAGAGCACGGATTCGCCGAAGTCGTGAAACTTTTGCTTCAATCCGGCGCAAAAGTCGATTATAGACCCAACACGGACGAGCTTTTCCCAAGGACGATGCTTAGCGACGAACCTCTCCGCCTCGCAATCCGAAATAAACACAAAGACGTCGCGAGGATTCTCCTCGAAAACGGAGCCGATCCAAATAAACGTTATTTCTTCGGTTCCGAAATTAACTTGGTTACGGACCTTGAATTTTTGGAGCTTTTATTAACTTTCGGCGCCAACCCCGACAGCAGAGATAGGGCCGGGTTAACCCCCTTAATGAAAGCGGCCCGACAACCTCATGGAATGAGCGCCGTTTTACTTTTAATTAAATATGGAGCTGATGTTAATGCGATGGCTGATCATCGACATGATTATAGAACGGTAAATAATTAAATTTTAAATAATATATCGATAAATCTATAAAGAGCCGATAAAGATGTTCGCTGTAATAATTGCTATATTTATAGAGTCGGTTGGTAGTAGTTTTCCCCTATATTTAGTGATTTGTGTCGTAGGTTGGTTACTCTGACTTCTTTTTTTGACGTTTGAATTATGATTTTGACATTAAACACAATCTGTCGGGAATTTATCGGTATATTGTATAAATAAATAATAATTCCATTTTATTATTATATTTAGGTTCTTCATTACGCCGTTTTATCCGGAAATTTGGAAATCGTTGAGCTTCTAATTAAACAAGGAGCTAAATTGAATTACGACGAAGTTTACGAATTAGGAAAACCGAGCCCTTTAGATTTAGCCATATTAAAAGGTGATCCAAAAATCGTTTCTTTACTCATCAAATCAGGTAAAAAGAATCTTATTAAATCCAATTAGATTTAATTAAAAACTAATTTTTATTTAGGAGCTGATGTAAATTGTAGCTCCCCAATAATCGGTTCACCTCTTCACGTAGCTTGCGCCGATAACATCCCAAATCGCTTCGAAATATTACAAATGTTACTTTCAGAGGGTGCCGATCCTAATTTAAAGGTTTACAATGAAGTGGGTGATAGGAATTCGCAATTAAGACCGGTTCTTGTTGAGTACGTGGCGAGTAACGAAAATCTTAACCCGGAAGTGATCACGTTACTCTTAAAATACGGCGCGAGAGTTGTCATGAAGACGCAATTTAGAGACCCCGATGGAATATTGAATTCTTTGCAAAACGTGATGAACTCGCCGACGAAATCGATTTTTCGTTTACTCGTCGAAGCGACCGAATCGTTCGACGTTTGCATGATACGTAGGAGTTCGATTTTAACGCAAGAACAAAAAGATCTTCTCGTCAATTTAGCGAGAACCCCGTTAAGTTTACGAAGACAAATTCGATTGTATTTAAGAAAGAAATTTGGAAGAAAATTGGTCGATGGCATCGACAGCTTCGATTTGCCCAAGTGTTTAAATAAATACCTCCTTTTCGATTATTACACCAAAACGAGCTCGTTTTAATCGATCAATTCTTTTCTTTTTAAATGTTTTATTGGTGTGATTATATTATTGTGATTTCTTCGCTACCTGAACGAATGCGTTTTAACTTTTAGAAAGATGTCCCATTCTATGTAGTTTTCTATATTTGTACAATTTTTTGATAATAATTGTGTGAATTTTCGTTTCGGAATAAATTGGTTTTAAAAATAATCAAAAATTAAATGACAACTAACTCCCTCTATTGACGAACACATTAACGAACCACATAACCTCACTTTATAGGTTATTATTGCGTGTTTAAAAACCACGATTTCAACCAATTTTAAAGTCTTAATTAAGTATTGTTAAGAATGGGATTATCCGAAGGAGCTAAACAACGCCTTTCCATCGTCGTGAATATGGGAAAAACAGTTTTTCATTACGGATTTTTACCAACCGTTTTATATCTTGGTAAATTTAATGATCTATCTTAATTTGATACATTTATAACTTCATTTTAGGTTTTAAGAAAGGAGCTGATCCTGGGATGCCGGAAATCTCCTTCGGAAAGTGAGTTTACTCAATTTTTTAATTATTTTTTTTATTTATACATTAATTTTACTTTTTAGTTTGTTTTGGTGAACAAAGATTAGTTTTAACTCAAATTTTAGAAAGAAATGGGTTAGATAAGCTTAAAAAGTAAATAAAGGAGTTTTTAATACATAACCTCACTTCTCGTTGTGGCGCCATCTTTTATTTTTTAATCAAATCCTATTTTTATCCTTTTAAATTTTTTATAATAGTCGAAAAGGTTATGTTGAATTTAAATAATTAAGTCAGGGATAAACATATTTAATACGAATATAACAAACATTTATTCCAATAACAATTAAATTACAACAAATAACTTTTTAATCAAACTGAAGTTAACTTCTTTATCGACCGGTCTTTGACAGATTGTCACCATATTGGCGAAACGTGTTGTGCTCGATTTTTACAATTTTCCAGTTATAACACGTAAGTAATGATGCGTTTATACGTATTTTAACTCTTAATAACACAAATTACTAAGTTTGATTCGAAGCAAACCCAATTTTATGCCGACATTATTTACAACATAACCTCAAATTTTTTTTTAGGCTTTTACATTAATAATGAGTCGTTTTTTTGCGAGTTCCGACTCAGATTCGGACTCAAGTTCAGAAGAGGAGCAAATTCAACGTCCCCAGATTCCAACATACACCGTAAATACTTTTTTAAATTTTTTCTAACTTATTTAATTATTGATTAATTTGTTTATTAGTTTAGTGATGATGAAGAAGAAGTCAAGCGCGTTGTGCGCTCAACGAAAGAAAAGCGTTACGAAGAATTAAGCAACATCATCAAGCAAATTCGTAATTATAAAAAAATTAAGGATATGAGTAGTATGTTGAACAGCTTCGAAGAGTTACAACGAGCTTACACAAAAGCGGCCCCCGTTATTTTAAAAGAAGAAAATGGGCAAACCCCTCGATTTTACGTCCGGTGTTTGGCGGAAATGGAAGATTTTATTGGAGAAATGTGGGAAGATCGCGAAGGGAGGAAAAATATGAGCAAAAATAACAGCAAATCGTTATCGTCGATGCGACAAAAGTTACGAAAGTACTTAAAAGACTTCGAGGATGATTTGGTGAAGTTTAGGGAGAGTCCTGATATGCCTGATGATGAAGAAGATGAAGAAAAACGTAAATACCTTATAAAATTAATAAAATAAATAATTTATTTAATATTTTTTAGCTGAAATTGAGGTTGAATCTGAAGATGAAATCCCCCCACAAAAGCCTGAAATCCCCACCGCCACTGTAGCTGATGATGAAGGTGATGGTGAGAGCGATTCTGATGAGTGGCCCTCTGATTCTGACTCAGACACTGAAAGTAGTGATTATGATGAACGATTGACTACAATGCGAGATCATTTCTTAAAGGATCCAAAAAAACCGGGAGGGGGAGCCGCCCCCACTGTTAAAATCCCTGAAGATGATCGAATGAGGAGTAAGAAAGAGCGAAAACCACAGAGAGGGAAAATAAGGAAGGAAGACGAAGAGGATGGTGAAGGAGAATGGGAAACTGTTAAAGGAGGAGTTGCAATTCCAAGTGTAAGTTAATTCAAAAATTCGTTCGATTTTGTTGCAATTTGGTACAGTATATATTCGCTTATTAGCTTGAAAACAAAGACACTTATTAAAATGTGGTAAATGATATTCATTTTTAAGGAGATTTTGATTGATATATCACACATATATGTAAGGTTTTACATGAAACATTTATTTGAAGTTAAAAATGACATTTCAACAATTTGAACTTGTCACTTTAGGCAACGTTCTAAAATTTCGAATATATTACGTCAATTTGTAAATTGAATTAATCGCTTCGAAATCTAATTTTTGACGTTAAATATCTGAATTTGACGTTTAAGGTTCGAAATGACATTTTGAATTTAACGTTTTAGATGAAACTTTAATTTGAAGTTAAAAACGACAATTCAACAATTTGAACTTGTCGCTTTAGGCAACGTTCTAAAATTTCGAATATATTACGTCAATTTGAAATTAGGAATTAATCGCGTCGAAAACTTGTTTTTGACGTTTTAACGTCTTATTTTAATATCTTGGAATTTGACATGTAATAGTTTTAGATGATTTGAAGTTAAAAATGACAATTCAACAATTTGAACTTGTCGTTTTAGGCAACGTTCTAAAATTTCGAATATATACGTCAATTTGAAATTATGAATTAAACGCTTCGAAATCTTGTTTTTGACGTTTTAAATATCTTGGAATTTGACGTGTAAGGTTCGAAATGACACTTTAAATTTAACGTTTTAGATGAAACTTTGATTTGACGTTAAAAACGACAATTCAACAATTTGAACTTGTCGCTTTAGGCAACGTTCTAAAATTTCGAATATATTACGTCAATTTGAAATTATGAATTAATCGCTTCGAAATCTTGTTTTTGACGTTTTAAATATCTTGGAATTTGACGTGTAAGGTTCGAAATGACACTTTAAATTTAACGTTTTAGATGAAACTTTGATTTGACGTTAAAAACGACAATTCAACAATTTGAACTTGTCGCTTTAGGCAACGTTCTAAAATTTCGAATATATTACGTCAATTTGAAATTATGAATTAATCGCTTCGAAATCTTGTTTTTGACGTTTTAAATATCTTGGAATTTGACGTGTAAGGTTCGAAATGACACTTGGAATTTAACGTTTTAGATGAAACTTTGATTTGACGTTAAAAACGACAATTCAACAATTTGAACTTGTCGCTTTAGGCAACGTTCTAAAATTTCGAATATATTACGTCAATTTGAAATTATGAATTAATCGCTTCGAAATCTTGTTTTTGACGTTTTAAATATCTTGGAATTTGACGTGTAAGGTTCGAAATGACACTTGGAATTTAACGTTTTAGATGAAACTTTGATTTGACGTTAAAAACGACAATTCAACAATTTGAACTTGTCGCTTTAGGCAACGTTCTAAAATTTCGAATATATTACGTCAATTTGAAATTATGAATTAATCGCTTCGAAATCTTGTTTTTGACGTTTTAAATATCTTGGAATTTGACGTGTAAGGTTCGAAATGACACTTGGAATTTAACGTTTTAGATGAAACTTTGATTTGACGTTAAAAACGACAATTCAACAATTTGAACTTGTCGCTTTAGGCAACGTTCTAAAATTTCGAATATATTACGTCAATTTGAAATTATGAATTAATCGCTTCGAAATCTTGTTTTTGACGTTTTAAATATCTTGGAATTTGACGTGTAAGGTTCGAAATGACACTTGGAATTTAACGTTTTAGATGAAACTTTGATTTGACGTTAAAAACGACAATTCAACAATTTGAACTTGTCGCTTTAGGCAACGTTCTAAAATTTCGAATATATTACGTCAATTTGAAATTATGAATTAATCGCTTCGAAATCTTGTTTTTGACGTTTTAAATATCTTGGAATTTGACGTGTAAGGTTCGAAATGACACTTGGAATTTAACGTTTTAGATGAAACTTTGATTTGACGTTAAAAACGACAATTCAACAATTTGAACTTGTCGCTTTAGGCAACGTTCTAAAATTTCGAATATATTACGTCAATTTAAAATTATGAATTAATCGCTTCGAAATCTTGTTTTTGACGTTTTAAATATCTTGGAATTTGACGTGTAAGGTTCGAAATGCCATTTTGAATTTAAAGTTTTAGATGAAACTTTAATTTGATGTTAAAAATGACTATTCAACAATTTGAACTTGTCGCTTTAGGCAACGTTCTAAAATTTCGAATATATCACGTCAATTTGTAAATTGAATCGCTTCGAAATCTAATTTTTTGACGTTTTAAATATTTGAATTTGACGTTTAAGGTTCGAAATGACATTTTGAATTTAATGTTCTAATTGAAACTTTGATTTGAAATTAAAAATGACAATTCAACAATTTGAAGTTGTCGCTTTAGGCAACGTTCTTAAATTTCGAATTTACCGCTTTACGTCAATTTGAAATTATGTAATGTTTTAGTAAATAGTAACATTTTGTCCAGTGTTTAAGAAATACATGTTTTGTAGATAATTTTTATTTGGTTTACCGCACTTTGAAGCCACAACGAATATGTTATCTGCTTTAAATATTGTATTTAGTACCCTCGCTCCAAACGTGTCAGAAGATTCTTTTAGAACAATTAAACAATTGTAGTTTTATGTGATGGATTGTCGATGATATTATACATACATTTCGATAGCTGTATTTGTCTTCAAGCTATAAGCGAATATAAACCGTTCGCCCCAATTCCAACCCTTATAACTCGCCTCAGAGGCTTTAAATCGCAACGAAATCGAACCTTGTTAGAAATGAATTCGAAATTTATTTTAATTTATTCTTTAGGAAAAACCGAAAATGTTTGCGAAAGACGCGGAAATCGATTTAAACCTCGTTATTAAAAAATTAAACGAAATTATGGCAGCGAGAGGTAAAAAACGCACCGATCGTCGAGAACAAATCGAGTTATTACACGAATTAGTCGCAATAACGGAACAACACGGTCTAGGAGCCGCAATTTGCGTCAAAATCAAATTCGCAATCGTTTCCGCAATTTTCGATTATAATCCCAAAGTATCCGACGCGATGAAACCCGAGTATTGGAACAAGTTACTCGAGCGCATGTCGGAGATGCTCGATATTCTTAAAGACCAAGACATTTTTATTTCCGAGTCGATTACCGAGGAGATGGAGAATTTTGAAACGGCGCCTTTCAAGATTCGAGGTTGCGTTTTAACGAGTTTGGAGCGTTTAGATGACGAGTTTATTAAGTTATTGAAGGAGTGCGACCCGCATAGTAACGAATACGTTGAAAGATTAAAAGATGAAGGGAAAGTTGCGATGATTATCGATAAAGTTCAATGTTATTTGGAGAAATACAATAATAACTCGGAGTTGTGTCGGATTTATTTGAGAAAAATCGAACATTTGTATTACAAGTTTGACCCGAGAGTGCTTAAAAAGAAAAGTGGGGAGCTTCCAAGTGATACCGCAACTTCCGTACAAGAAATGGATAAATTATGCAAATACATTTACGCTAAAGATAGCACGGATCGTTTAAGAACTCGCGCAATTTTATCCCACATTTACCACCACGCTTTACACGACGGTTGGTTCCAAGCTCGCGATTTAGTTTTGATGTCGCATCTCCAAGAAACGATCCAACACTCCGATCCATCGACTCAAATCCTTTATAATCGTATGATGGCGCATTTGGGGCTATGCGCGTTTAGACACGCTAATATAAAAGACGCCCACAGCTGTTTAGTCGATTTAATGATGACGGGGAAGCCCAAAGAGTTACTCGCGCAAGGGTTACTCCCCCAACGGCAACACGAGCGTAGCAAGGAGCAAGAAAAAATCGAAAAACAGCGCCAAATGCCGTTCCATATGCACATTAATTTGGAGTTATTAGAATGCGTTTATTTAGTTTCAGCGATGTTAATCGAAATCCCTTACATGGCCGCGCACGAGTTTGACGCGAGAAGAAGGATGATTTCAAAAACTTTTTATCAACAACTACGAAGCTCCGAGCGTCAATCCCTAATTGGCCCCCCTGAGAGTATGAGAGAACACGTTGTGGCCGCCGCGAAAGCAATGCGAAACGGCCATTGGGCCGCTTGCAACAACTTCATAATCAACGAGAAAATGAACGCGAAAGTTTGGGACCTTTTTTACCAATCAGATCAAGTCCGATCCATGTTAACCAGATTAATCAAAGAAGAATCCCTCCGCACCTATTTATTCACTTATTCCCACGTTTACGACTCAATCTCCGTTAAAACATTAGCCGAAATGTTCGAAATGGAAACCTCATCCGTTCACTCAATCATCTCAAAAATGATCATCAATGAGGAATTGATGGCCTCGCTGGATGATCCGACCCAAACCGTCGTGATGCATCGCAGCGAACCGTCGCGATTACAATCTTTGGCACTCCAATTGGCCGATAAAATCAACAATTTCGTTGATTCGAACGAGCGAATTTTGGAAACGAAACAAGGTAACTTCTTTTTGAGGGGACCCAATCAAGGTAACTTTAGAGGGGATCGCCAAAACTTTGGCAGATCGAACCAACAGGAATGGGGCAGAAATCGGCGCGAAAATAGAAATCGCGATTATAATTAAAAAAAAATGTTTAATAATGTTTTAAATAAAAATTAATTCATTAATAATAAATATAACCTCAAATTTAAAATTTGTACCAACCAAAAAAATAAAATCCTAACTGTCAAAATGACGCAAAGAAAAATTTTGACCGATTTAAATGGAGTCAAGAAGCGTTTTAAACGAATTTTCAATCTTAAAATTAAAAGAATTGGACGTAATTTCAAGCGGATTGTTTATGCTACGAATAAAAAAGCGGTCATAACCTCAAATTTAAGGAGGAACCTAATAATTGTAAGTTTTTATTTGATTTATTTATTTTATTTACAACTTTTTATAATGGGGAAAAAATCGCGATTATAATTAAATTTGAAACGAAAAAGAATTGTTTAATGTATTAAATAAAAATTAATTCATTAATAATAAATATAACCTCAAATTTAAAATTAGTACCAACCCAAAAAAAAAAAATCCTAAACAACGAAAATGACGCAAAGAAAAATTTTCGAAGTTTTATCCGAATTAAACGATTTAAATGATACGAACTCATCAAGAAGCGTTTTAAACGAATTTTCGGACTTAAAATCCAAAGAATTTGATGTAATTTCAAGCGGATTATCTCAAATTGTTTATGCTACGAATAAAGAAGCAAACATAACCTCAAATTTAAGAAGGAACCAAATAATTGTAAGTTTTTATTTAATTTACATTAATTCTATTAAAAAGGGATGTTTTTTTTTATAGAATTTGATTAAAAATTTAACTCAAACACCACAAAATCATTTCAACGTAACCAAACAAAATCACAACTTGATTTTTAAAAAAATATTAACCCGATTCGAGTCTAATTTGGGTGAGAAAGAACTCGGGAATGATTTGAGAACGTTTTATGCTAAAAGCGATGAGAAATGTTTAAGGATTAATCAAAAATTGGAGTTTGTGCTAAAACGGGATCAAGAAATGATTAAAAATGATGATTTTGATGTTAATATTAACTTAAATCGGGGTGATACAAAAAGTTTTGATGAAATCTATTTCGATTTAACCCAAAAAAAGTATAGGAATAATTTAGAGATTAATTGCGTTAACGAAAACGATTTCACTGATCTTATTAAGTTGCTTTATGCTTGGTGCAACTTAAACGGTGATTATAAAGAGTTAAAAAATGTTTTAAAGTTACTTAAAAGTTACTCGGAACGTTTTAAGGATTGTGATGAAATTAAAAAAGATTTGATTTGGTGTATTTGGAACGATATAAGTTCACAAGATGATTTAAAATTGATTTTGGAGGAATTTCCTTTTATTTTGGAACAAAAATTAATTCAAGTTTCTAAAAAAATTGTTGAATTGGAAACTTTTAATGTTCAAGATTTTTTTGAATCGGAAGCGGTTTTGGCTCAATTACTACAAGAAGATTGTTTAAAAAGAACCGCTTTATTAATTTTATATGAATTATTTGCTTTATCTGGTTATAATCGGAGAATTTTAAGTTTTATCGAAGATTTTAATAAAACGATTTGAAGGTAATGTTATAAAAATTATTATAAATATTATAATAAATCTTCAAATGATTTAAAACACAATTAATTACAATTTGTTCTAAAGAATAAAAAAGATTTTTAGGTTATGTTTAGTTGTCAAATTTAAATGTCAAAGAATAACATAACCCAACTTTTTGGTTGAATTATTTGATTTATTTTATTCACAATTTTTTATAACGGGGAAGAAATCGCGATTATAGTTAAATTCGAAACGAAAAAGAATTGTTTAATGTTTTAAATAAAAATTTATTCATTAATAATAAATATAACCTCAAATTTTAAGTTAGTACCAACCAATGAAAAAGAAATCCCTAACTGTGAAAATGACGCATAGAAGAATTTTCGAAGTTTTGGCCAAATTAAACGATATTAATATAACAAAAATCGTTTTAAACGAATTTTCCAACTTAAAATCAGAAAGATTGGACGTAATTTCAAGCGGATTATCTCAAATTGTTTGTGCTACGAATAAAGAAGTCAATATAACCTCAAATTTAAGGAGGAACCTAATAATTGTAAGTTTTTATTTAATTTAAATTAATTGTTTTGAAACTTTTTTGCTAAAAAAAGTTCTCAAAGATTTAAAACCCGATTAATTACAATTTGTTGTAATTAATTTAAAAAATAAAAAAAAATTTTAGGTTATGTTTAGTAAAATAACATAACCCAACTTTTTGGTTGAATTATTCGATTTATTTATTTAATTCACAACTTTTTATAATAATTATCATACAATCTCTTATAATACTCAAAATTTTTCTCGTTAAACAACAATTTCGAATCCACAAATTTATCAATCGGCATCTCCAACCAAAATTTCATAATTTTTTCTTGTTGCGAAATAATATTTTTGGGAATTGAGGTGTTTTGCTTATAAACAATCTCCAAATCGTTCAAAACCCGATTAATTCCAATTTGTTGTTCTTCTAATTGGTTTAATAAATCTAAAAAAAAAATTTTTAGGTTATATTTAGTTGGCAAATTTAAATGTCAATGAACAACATAACCCAACTTTTTTATTTAACTCACATTTTTCATATTTTAATTCCTTATCCGCACACAACATAGCATTTGAGTTGTTTAAAACGATTTTATTCCTAATTAATTCCAAAATAATCATCTCAGGAGGTGCATAAATATTATTTAAAGTCCCCCGAAGCTTTTTAAAATCATCGATTTCGACATTAAGTAACCCCCTAACGAACACACTCCCTCTATTTAAATTAACTTTTCGATTATAAACCAAATCGTAATCATTAAACGTCTCTATCTCTTTCTTGTTTAACCCCTTTTCTAACAAAAACGACATTGAGGCGGTTTCCAATGATAACCTTTGCAAGGCGGAGAATAAAAATTTCGTTTCTCTTTGAGTGTTTTTAATCGATTCGTCGATATCCTCGCTTAACAAAACAATTTGGTTCAATTTTTTGTCATAATCGCTTAATTTTTTTTCAAAAGAAGCAAGTTTTAACTCAACAGATTCTAAATTAAAACCATTAGGATTATCAAGCTTTTTTAATTCGCTTTGTAACGTTTCTAAAGCTGTTGAAGTTTCAATTTCTTTCAATTTTAACTCGATTAAATCCCGCATTGATGATATTTCATTTTGGGATAAATTCAAACAAAGAAATTGATCCTAAAATAAATTAATTTAATCATTTCATTAATTTTTTTTAATCAACTTACATAAATATCCCCCAATTTCTTTTCAAAATCATCTCGTTGCTTATTAATCTCTTTATTACATTTCAAAATCATTAAACGATTCTTTATATCATCCGAATAAACAAAATCTAAAGTTTTAATTCTTCTCCTACTTTTAATTAATTCTAATTTATTGCAGGATTGATTCGAAACGATTTCGATCGTTTTTATTTTAGTTTCATTGATGAGATTCGTCAAAAATGATATGGTTTTGTTAAAATCGTGCTTTGATATGATTTTTTTGACTTCATCCATGAAATTTTTGTTGTTTAAGACGTCGATTTTTTGATTTAAATTTGTTTTATCAATGTGGAGCTCTAAAAATTGTGATTGCTCAAAAGTAAATGAACTTTTAGTTATTGTTTCGTTAAAAATTAATGATGTGGTTAAAGAAGACTGCTTTTTTAAATTAATTTTATTCGAAAGTTTATTTAAAACCTCCACAATCTCTTTTTTATCGCCGTTCTTTAAGTTTTTGTGATTATTTTCAAAGAAATCTAATTTCTGCTCCATTACTTTAATGTTTTTTTCAAAATCGATCCTTTTTTGGGTGTATAAAAATTCTTTTCGTTTATTTTCCCTTATTTGTTCCTTTAATTTCTCGTTTTGGGCACGTTTATAATCAAGATTCACTTTAAAATTCTCTAAATTCTCAATTTTTTCTGATACTTCATCTTTTAGTTTAAATTTTTTTGCTTTTAATTCGTTCTTTTTTTTATAAATTTCGATTTCTTTACATCTCCCCATTGAGTGCTGCTAAAACAACAAAAAATTAAATACCAAAAACATTAAATCAAACAAAATTTACCTCCGGTAAGTTTCCATTTAACTCATGAATAATGATGTTTCTTCGAATATGGTCGATTTCATCTTTCGGTTTTATCTTTGATACTAATTGTTCCCAAATATGAATCGTTTCAGGGCCACAAACACTTTTAATTAAAAAAAAATCATAAAATAAAAGAATTTTTTAGGTTATGTTCACCAACTTACTTTTTAAAACAATTCGGAACATTCCCCGTGTACCCCATACTCTTAGCCCACTTCTCCACTCTCTTTTTCGTATCCATTCTTACTCAAAATCACTTTTTTTCTTTAAATCTTACAAGAAAAGCTTATTTATCGTTATTTACCGCATTCAAATCCGTCAAATTATTATGTGTTGGTACCAACATAATTTTTTTTCCCCCAATTAAATTAAATTAATTAAAATTAACAACAAATTTATATTTATTAAAAAATTTATTAATAAAGAATTAATTAATTAACAAAATCTAAGTTATAAATTAATTATTTAATTAATTTTAAATTAATTTGATTTATTTTTAGTAACTTTTTTTAAGTTGCCAGTTCTGGAGTTATTAGAAATGTCAGAATTAAATTTTCTAACCGCAAAAATCTATTTTTAGATCGCGTTAATCGCAAGAAAATATTGAATTATGGCAGCAAACAGTATTTTTTTGGACTTCTCCGTCGACCCAGCTTGTGTAAAAAGCGACATCGAGCAATCATTAATCGCGAATAACCTCGAAAACCTCCTAAGAGATTACCTCCCGAATTTGAAGCCGGTTCATGGATTCCCGATGGAAGATTCCCTCGTTAAGCTGTACACTTGCACAATGGGGGGACTAATAACAGTAAGGATTTATAATAACGGCCTGGTTACCGTTAACATCGAATATTACAAAGGGGACCATCAAGAACCCATCGTTTCTTGCGAGGTTGGTATTTGAGGTTATTTTTTTATTTTATTTAGGATTTTAGACTAATTCGGGTAAGTTTTAGTCAATAATGTTTCAATTTTGCAGTCTTTAAAGCTGTTGGAACAAAAAACCAACATAACCTTACATTCGTTCCGATCGAAAATTTTACCACCGATCAAAAGGGGAGGCGTAATCGACGCTTATCTGACCAGTTCAGGTTCGATTTGGTGTGGTTGCGCTTTGTACGTTTTTGGAATTTTATTTTGGTTGAAAATAAGTTGGATTAAAGATAAAATTTCTCTGTTAAAGCCTCCAAATTGATTATAAACAATCTCCTAATCATATTAAACCTTATTAATTACGATTTTATTACAAATTAACTTAATAAACATAAAAAATAAAATTTATTTTTAGGTTATGTGTAATTGTCAATGAAACATAACCCAACTTTTTTTAAAATCGGAAACTATTTTGGTTAATTTATTACTTTTTGTTGTGTTCTCATTTGAAAAGAAGTGCTTTATTAATGCTAATCGTATTAATTACGATTTTATTACAACTTAGCTTAATAAATAAAAAAAATAAAATTTATTTTTAGGTTATGTGTAATTTTCAATGAAACATAACCTAACTTTAATTTTAATCCAATTTAACTCGTATGAAAACACTTAAATCCCCTTTTTATTTCTTTAAGCTTGTTTTTATTGTATTTATTAATATTATTTAAATTTTTTTTGCATGTTCGCTTTATTTTTTGGGTAGAAAATTAAAAATCTTAGAGATGATATTGGAAATAAGATTTCCGAGGCTGTTCATTGTCACCGCTTAGTCCCGATTCGGAGGAGTATCGTTGACCGATACTTCCCATCCTCAGGTAGTACTTTAATTTTGTAAATAAATCTAATTTTCCCTAAAATTTAATTAATTTTATTTATTTTTTTTGTAAAAAATTTTATTTTTTAGATGACCGCTTGCTGGAATATGACATCGATCGAGTTGTTTTCGACGAAAAAACGGCGTACCAACGAGTTTTAATCGTTCATTCAAAAACTTTGGGGAATATGCTCGTTTTGGACGATTTACAAAGTAACATAACCTCAAAAAAAAAGATTTTTTTATTAATTTTTGTTATTTATTGGTAGATATTTCCGAAGCTGATTTAATCTACACAGAAACTTTAATGTCTCGGGGGAAAGAAAACTACAAAGACAAAGAAATCGTTATTTTAGGTAAATTTAAATCGCTAATACATTATTTTAATAAGTTTTAAGTCATTTCTTTGACATACTCTTTATACGTTATAGAGGGCGTGCGCGTCTGTCTAAATATAAAGGGATCTTAAAGTAACTCACCCCATCTAGCGGTGAGAACCCATATTAAATCATAGTTTGACATTTAAAACTCTCCGATTGCTTTTATTGATAAAATAATCAAATTTTAACCCAAAAATAAGTTTAATTGAACCAAAATCACCATCACAATACATTTTTGAACCCCAAAACTACTTATTTAAAGTGATTTTTCTTCCTAAATTAAAGAAGAAACGAAAACATAACCCAACTTTTATCGCGTCATTAACATTTTTGATGATTTAAGAAAATTAGGATGATTTATTACAACAAAAATATCGTAAGTTGATTAATTTTGTTAACGTTTAATCATTTAATTCCTTATTTTATTGATTTTTTTTTAATCAAAAAATTTAAATGAGAAAGTCGCATTCTAATCGAGTTATTTTTAGAATCAAAGTTAGAGGGCGCTTAGATTGTGACTTGTAATTTATAATTTTTTTTTAAGTTGGAATTAATTGAATTTTTTTAAAGATAAAAAAGCAAAATGAGCTTTATTTAGGTAAAGATTACAACAATTTGCGTTTTTTATTGTTTAAATCTTAAAATTCCTTCTCTTTTAAATAGTTGTTCACGCCATCTAGCGGCAACCATTCATATTAAGTCAAAGTTTTGACGTTTAAAACTTACCGATTGTATTTCTTGCTAAAATAATCAAATTTTACTAAAAATAAGTTTAATTGAACCAAAATCACCATCACAATACATTTCTGAACTCCCAAACTACTTATTTAAAGTGATTAGAGACTCCAAGAAGTGATTTTTTTTCCTAAATTAAAGAAGAAACGAAAATATAACCTAACTTTTATCGCGTCATTAAAATTTATGATGATTTAAGAAAATCAGGGTGATTCATTACAACGAATACATCGTAAGTTGATTAATTTTATTAATTTTTAATCATTTAATTCCATAATTTATTGGCTTTTTTAAATAAAAAAATTAAATGGAAAAGTCGCATCTAATCAACGAGTTATTTTTAGAATCAAAGTTAGAGGGCGCTTAGAATGTGACTTCTAAATTTATAATTATTTTTTTAAACTTGGAATTAATACATAAAATTTTTTTTTAATATGAAAAGGGAAAATGTATCTTTATTTAGGTAAAGGTTTTGAAAATGTATGTTTTTTATTGTTTAAATCTTAAAATTCTTTCTCTTTTAAGTAGTTGCTCACCCCATCTAGCGGCAACCATCCATATTAAGTCAAGTTTTGACGTTTAAAACTTAGCGATTGTAATTTTTGCTACGATGATCAAATTTGATCAAAAAATAAGTTTAATTAAACTAAAATCACCGTCACAATACATTTTTGAACTCCCAAACTACTTATTTAAAGTGATTAGAGACTCCAAGAAGTGATTTTTTTTCCTAAATTGAAGAAGCAACGAAAACATAACCTAACTTTTATCGCGTCATTAATATTTTTGATGATTTAAGAAAATCAGGGTGATTTATTACAATAAAAACAGCCGTAAGTTGGTTATTTTTATTAACTTTTAATCATTTAATTCCAAAATTTATTGGATTTTTAAATTAAAAAAATTTAAATGGAATAGTCATATTCTAATTAACGAGTTGTTTTTAGAATCAAGGTTGGAGGGCGCTTAGATTGTGACTTTTATAAATTTATAATTATTTTTTTAAGTTGGAGTTAATAATTGATTTTTTTTAAGATAAAAAGGGAAAATGAGCTTTATTATTTTATTATTATTTCTGAGAAAATTAGTTAGTTTTTAGTTTGAATAAAATTGAGGTTGGCACCCCTTCCTTTCATTTCAATTTTTTGACAGAATCCGTTTCTTTTCGCGTTTTAATTAATTTCTTGTCATTTTTATAATAATTAAGTGTTTAATTGTGCTTATTCATCAAGAATTGTTTCCTTTTTATTTACTACTTGGTGAGTAATTAATTTTTATCGCCTCAAAATTATTTTTTAAAGTAATCTTTGTTGTAATTAATCTTGGGTTGAGGTTAGAAATGATTATCAAGATTTTCAGGTTTATTAATGCAGAGATTACTCTAATTTTTTAACTTAATAACAATTTTAATTTTAAATCAATAATTTTATTATTAATATTTCTTAGAAAATTAGTTACTCTTTGGATTTGGATAAAATTGAGGTTGGCACCCCTTCCTTTCATTTAAATTTTTTGACAATTCGTTTTTTTTCGCGTTTTAATTAATTTCTTATCATTTTTATTCATTCTAATTATTTTTTTAAGTTGGAGTTAATAATTGATTTTTTTTTAAGATAAAAATGGAAAATGAGCTTTATTTAGATAAAGATTTCAAAAAATTTACGTTTTTTGTTGCTTAAATCTTAAAATTATTTTTCTTTTAAATAGTTGCTCACTCCATCTAGCGACAAGCATTCATATTAAGTCAAAGTTTTGACGTTTAAAACTTACCGATTGTATTTTTTGCTAAAATAATCAAATTTTACCGAAAAATAAGTTTAATTGAACCAAAATCACCATCACAATACATTTTTGAACTCTCAAAGTACTTATTTAAAGTGATTAGAGACTCCAAGAAGTGATTTTTTTCCCTAAATTAATGAAGTAACGAAAACATAACCTAACTTTTATCGCGTCATTAAAATTTTTGATGATTTAAGAAAATCAGGTTGATTTATTACAACAAAAACATCGTAAGTTGGTTAATTTTATTAACTTTTAATCATTTAATTACGTTTTTATTGTTTAACTCTTAAAGTTCTTTTTATTTTAAATAATTGCTCGCGCCATCTAGCGACAACCATTCGTATTAAGTCAAAGTTTTGACATTTAAAATTTACCGATTGTATTTCTTGTTAAATTAATCAAATTTTACCAAAAAATAAGTTTAATCTTAATGCAGAACACCTCAAAATAATTTTTTTCCTTTTTTGAGGTGGCGGAGATGGTGCTTTATTGTACGAACTGCTTAAAGAAGAGCCCAAAAACGTGATTATGCTGGAAATAGATGAAGTTGTGATGAAGGCTTGCGCTAAACACATGAAATCGATTTGCGGAGACGTTTTGGATAACTACAACGGACCAAACTACCAAGTAAATGATTAAAACGGTTTATTAAATCGTTTTTAACCTAAATTTTATAGATCATCGTTGATGATTGCATTAAATCCCTCGAGCAGTTCATTCAACAAGGTAGGAAATTTGATTATGTTTTTGGAGATTTAACCGATATCCCGATTTCGGAAACGCCAACCGGTGAACTTTGGAATTTTGTTTTAAAAATTCTGCAAATGTCGTTTAAAATTTTAAAACCCGATGGGAAATTTATGACTCACGTAAATACTTAATCAAAAAAGAAAAAGGTGGGAATTAAAAGGTTTTTTGTAGGGTAATGGAAAGAGTTCAATCGAATCGTTAGAAATGTACGAGTCGCAATTGATGAAACTAAACCCACCGGTTATTATAAACAAAACGACCGCTTTTGTCCCATCTTTCTTGGAAGATTGGGTTTTCTACCAGATTAGTTTTGCTGAACGAGCGTAACGAAGATTCCGAAAAAAAATGATTAGTTTGCACACTTGTTCGCATGTTAGGTAGCACTACCGTTTCGTTTTTTCGTTCCTATTCTGTATTATCTTAACGTTTTAAGAAGTAAATACAAAAATTAGTGGTTTCCATCACTTTATCATTTATTTAATCCAAAAATCACAAGGTACAAAATATAAATAAACTATCACAAACGACAACAATGTTTAAAATCTTCTTAAAACTTCTTATTAATATTAATCACAACAAATCCAAAGTTTTAACTACTCTACTTTTATTAAAATTGATCCTTGGCAAAGCATCCAATCGGATCGGTTTTTTTTTAACATCACTTTCCGTGACCCAAAAGTGATTTTTCCCTGGTCTCGTTGATTGTTCTTCGTTCAAATTCAGTCTCTCCGTGGAGCGGTGCTTCGATTTTGCGAATTCTGGAATTGTGGTATCTAAAGTGATTTAATTGTATACGAATTATTGAATTACCATACTGTTTCGTTTTACCTCTCCACAAATCGAACGCCCGTTGCGTATCGATTCGCGACGATTCGTTTAATAATTCGGTGGCACGTTTAGGACGGAAATAATTTCCAATTAAATCTTCCGGATTACATTTCTCAAGTTTCTGGATAACGAGAAAAAAAGTTAGGTTAGAAATTTTTTATTTTGGGTTGGTTTTACCTTTATTTTGAGCAAGTTTTGATCGTCTTCTCCTGAATCAAGTCGAGCTGGGGCTGTTTGTATGTTGGAAAATCTTCCTGTAAGTTTTATATATTTTTATTTTTTCGAAAAGAAAATTAATTATTATATATAAAATAATATGTTTTACGCGAATTTTTGTAAATTTTCGGTTTTACAGAATTTCTGATCAATTTAATTTGAATGGCTTCTTATTTCTTAGTCAATACAGACAGAAAATTGTTATTGTAATATTCTTGTTGTACAAACTTTAATAATAATAATTAATAATAAAAAAAAAAAATAATAATAATAATCAATAATTATTATTTAATTAATAATTTTATTAATATTATAAAATTAGTAATTTTTTGATTTGGATAAAATTGAGGTTGGCACCCCTTCCTTTCATTTCAATTTTTTGACAGAATCTGTTTCTTTTCGCGTTTTAATTAATTTCTTATTATTTTTATAATAATTAAGTGTTTAATTGTGCTTATTCATCAAGAATTGTTTCCTTTTTAGTTACTACTTGGTGAGTAATTAATTTTTATCGCTTCAAAATTCTTTTTTAAGGTAATCTTTGTTGTAATTAATCTTGGGTTGAGGTTAGAAATGATTATCAAGATTTTCAGGTTTATTAATGCAGAGATTACTCCAATTTTTTAACATAATAACAATTTTAAATCAATGTTTTTATTATTATTTCTTAGAAAATTAGTTACTTTTTGATTTGGATAAAATTGAGGTTGGCAACCCTTCCTTTCATTTCGATTTTTTGACAGAATCCGTTTCTTTCCGCGTTTTAATTAATTTCTTATCATTTTTATAAAAATTAAGCGTTTATTGTGCTTATTCATCAAGAATTGTTTCCTTTTTAGTTACTACTTGGTGAGTAATTAATTTTTATCGCCCCAAAATTCTTTTTTAAAATAATCTTTGTTGTAATTAATCTTGAGTTGAGGTTAGAAATGATTATCAAGATTTTCGTGTTTATTAATGCAGAGATTACTCCAATTTTTTAACTTAATAACAATTTTAATTTTAAATCAATGTTTTTATTATTATACTCTGTTTTTAAACCAGGAGGAGTAAACGCGAAAGTCAGATTTACACTAGGAAAAATCACCAGAAAATATCACTAGATATTTTGGCGGTAAATTTAAATTAATAATTATTATTATTTATTTATTTACTTATTATTCTATTTATTTTCGTTTGTTATCATCAACACTAAACATACAAATTAACATTGAAGTTATGAGTGTATTTATTTCAAAATATAATAAAGAAAGGGTTAAGAACACAAAATTTACAATAATGACACGAAACTGTCGAATTATCAATAACCTAACCTTCAAATTCAAAATTGCCTGTGTGAACCTTCCTCGCATTTAACCAATCACGTACAAGGTCAATCTGGTGACAAATTTAAAATACTCCTTCTGGTTTAAAAACAGTATAATATTTCTTAGAAAATTAGTATAGTTCGTTTTTTTTCTATAATACTTGTCAATGTACATTTTTTAGGGTTTCTGTTGGTATTATCTAGGACCCTTATAAAATGTAGGTTGTTTTCCTGATTTTTAGTAACATTTTCAGTAACTAAATAGTTGAGGTTAAAATACTAATAGATTTTTAGATATACGATTTTAACGAAGTACATATTTATTGTAAAAACGTGCTACAAAGTAATTAAATAGAACAAAACACCTTTTCTAGGCAAATAAACACCCCACAACATTTTTTATGCACCTTTTCTTTTTGAATAACGAAAGTTCAAACGTCAGTGTGACATATTTATTTCAAAACATGATAAAACCTGTTAATTTTGCCAACTTTAGAACAATTTGGCAGGTATTATAGAAAAAAAATGAGCTATAAGTTTTTCATTTGGATAAAATTGAGGTTGGCATCCCTTCCTTTCATTTCGATTTTTTGACAGAATCCGTTTCTTTTCGCGTTTTAATTAATTTCTTGTCATTTTTATAATAATTAAGTGTTTAATTGTTCTTATTCATCAAGAATTGTTTCCTTTTTAGTTATTACTTGGTGAGTAATTAATTTTTATTTTTTTTTTAAGGTAATCTTTGTTGTAGTTAATCTTGGGTTGAGGTTAAAGATGATTATCAAGATTTTCGGGTTTATTAATGCGGAGATTGCTCCAATTTTTTAACTTAATAACAATTTTAATTTTAAATCAATGTTTTTATTATTAATATTTCTTAGAAAATTAGTAAGTTTTTGATTTGGATAAAATTGAGGTTGGCATTCCTTCCTTTCATTTCGATTTTTTGACAGAATTCGTTTCTTTTCCGTTTTAATTAATTTTTTTTCATTTTTATAATAATTAAGTATTTAATTGTGCTTATTCATCAAGAGTCGATTCCTTTTTGGGTGAGTAATTAGTTTTTATCGTTCCACAATTCTTTTTTGAAGTAATCTTTGTTTTAATTAATCTTGTGTTGAGGTTAAATATGATTATCAAGATTTTCGGGTTTATTAATGTAGGAATTATTCCAATTGTTTAACTTAATAACAATTTTAATTTTAAATCAATAATTTTATTATTTCTTAGAAAATTAGTTACTTTTTGGTTTGGATAAAATTGGGGTTGGCACCCATTCCTTTCATTTCGATTTTTTGACAGAATCCGTTTCTTTTCGCGTTTTAATTAATTTCTTATCATTTTTATAATAATTAAGTGTTTAATTGTGCTTATTCGTCAAAAACCGATTCCTTTTTGGTTATTCCTTGGTGAGTAGTTAGTTTTTATCGACACAAACTTCTTTTTTAAAGTAATCTTTCTTTTAATTAATCTTGGGTTGAGGTTAAAAATGATTATCAAGTTTTATAGTCTTCAGACGCACGGTTAAAATAACTAAAACTAGCATTACAAGAGCGTCAATTAAGTATTAATATCAATTTTGACGTTGACAGAAATGTTTTAAGCATCAAATTGACGTATTGATTGAAATAATACGATTTTAGTAATTTTGTAAATTAGGTGAATTGACATAAACAAAATAATTTAATGACAGCCAAAAATAGAAATAAAAAAAAAATAACTAAAATACTAATTTTAAATCAAAAATTTTATTATTTATTAAAAAATTAGTTACTTTTTGATTTGGATAAAATTGAGGTTGGCACCCCTTCCTTTCATTTCGATTTTTTGACAGAAACGATTTCTTTTCGCGTTTTAATTAATTTCTTATCATTTATCTAATTAATTAAGTGTTTAATTGTGCTTATTCATCAAGAATCGATTAATTTTTGTTTTAATTAATCGTGGATTGAGGTTATACTTAGAAATTACTTTTTAATTGGGATAAAATTGAGGTTCCTATCAAATTGTACTTACCAGCTGGTGGTAACTTAGTTCTTTCAACAACTAACTCGGGTAGTTTAAATTTTTGCGCATCCTCCAACCAAACGGCTTCCTCTTTAATATTCTCCAAATTTCTAAAACAAATCCCAATAACTGAAAATCCCCTAAACAATAAATAACCAACCTATAATTGCATTCCTTTTTGAGAGTTAGCGCGATTTTCTCCGAAATTTGCGCCAACAACTTGATATTTTTCTCTTGCTTCCTAATCGTTTCTAAATAATCGGATCGCTCCGCTTCGAATTCGCTCTGAATATCCTTAATCTCCTTCTCCAAGCTCCTCACTTTGTGTCGATATCGCCTCAAAACGTCGCTTTTAACGTCTAATTCTTGCGCGATGTCTTTGTATTGATTTTGTAGGATTTCGCGATCCTCGTTCATATCAATTTTGGCTAAAACGTGCGCGATCGCGCTTAATCGCCGCTCGGAAATTAATTTTTTTCGCTTTCTTCGTTCTGAAAGTTCTTTATCGTCGCTTTTTTCGCCCCCGATCATCGACGATTTTAATTGTTGTATCCGGTTTAATATTTCCTCTTTCGATGTGACTTTAATAAAATTTTTTTCGTTTAATTCTTTTAGGTTTTTTTCGTACTCGTCTTTGATGGTTTTGATTTGTTTTAATACATTTTCTTTTTCGCTTTGTTCGTTTTTGTGGAGATTTCGTAATCGGTCCATTTCTTCTTCGTAGTTTTGTATTAAAATTTCTTTTTTTACATCGATGTTGTTTTGTGTGTTATTTTGAATTGGGATTTTTTCTAATATCTCTTTAAGTCTTTGAATTTCTTCTTGGTATTGCCTCAAAATCGTGTCTTTTGGGTCTTCGTTTACTTTTGGTTTGTTTGAGATGTTTTTGGCGCGATTTGCGTATCGCAATGTTGATAAGGTTTCGATGTAATCTCGATCTGATGGGGAAATGCACGCGATCATTAAGGTTCGAGTGTTTCCGCCTAAAGAGTCTTGTAATAGTCTCGTTAATTTTGAGTCTCGATACGGGATATGGCGAGCTTTTCCGTCGACTAAAGCCGAAATGACGTTTCCTAAAGCGCTTAATGACAAATTGATTTTTGTGGCTTCTTTTAATCGGTCCCCGGTTGCGCCGGTTTTAGTTTGCCTCTCACTTCCGGCTAAATCGACCAAATTTAACTTTCCTTTTCTAATACAACTCTCCTCGTTGTTATTTTCGCGCGAAATTTGTTCTAAGCTCAAACTAAAGATGCTGTGGGACCTCGAACTCGATTGATTCATTAAGGTCGATCCGATGATGCGGTTTTTTGAACCAACGTTTAAAAGATCTTCGCATTCGGCGACGTTGTGGACGGCTTTTATGGTTAACCCCGGGACTGTGACTCCTTCGTTGGGGGTTTCTTTTAAATTTAACGAAGGCGTTGAGGTTAATTTATCGCTCGGTAATAACAAATCGCGGATTTGTTCGTTGTAAATTTCTAAATAGCTGGCTAAAGCTAGGTATTTAATGCCGGTTGTTACGGAGATTGCCTCGAAGATGTGTTCGAAAGCACGCGAGATGACTCCTTTTTCGCTTTGACATTTGTTTCCTTCCATTGTGAAGGATTTCCCGCAACCGGTTTGGCCGTAAACAAATATTGTACAGTTGTAGCCTTCTAAAACACTCTGAAAATGATTAAAAATTAATATTATAAGATTGTAAAAGATAAAATTTAGGTTGGTATTATTATATTCGTCGTAATCTTTAAAAAATAACCTTTAAAATGAGTCCAAATATGACGTACTTATCTCAAAAAACAAAAAAGTTAGAATAAAAACCGTTAAACCCGAAGTTAGCAACAATGAAAATAGAAATTTAGTTTTTAAATATTAATAATACCAACCTAAATTTTAATTTTTTTTATTATATTTTTGTTTTTGTGACAAATTTTAACATCTTATAAAAATTAAGAATATGTCAAAATGACATTGACATTTCAAACCGCAAGTTGCTTATATCTCGAGTAATATTGGAATTAAACATGTTTGGGTTCATTTTAAAGGATTTTTCAGGACAATTACAAATATGTTTACCTTTTGATAAAGCGTTAAAGAAATGGTTGATTGGTATAAAGAAAATCGTGAAAATGCAAGAAATTAAGTAAATAAAATTATTTTAACAACATTACTTGTTTTTTTTGCCCCATATGCTTAAAATCGAAATTTTTAAATTAGCAGAGTTTCGAACCAACGTTTATTTGAAAAGTAGCGCCATCTATTATTCACAAGCAGAATTGTGAAAATTGGGTTGGTTCGAAACTCGACTAATGAAAAAATTATACCGGGTGGCTCAAATAAAAATGAAAAATTAGATTATTCGCGACGAAATTTTTTTAAATCGACTTTTTATTTGAACCACCCGGTATAAATTTTTCATTAGTCGAGTTTCGAACCAAAGCTTATTCATCAAGTAGCGCCATCTATTATTTACGAGTAGAATTATTGTCATAATTAGGTTGGTTCGAAACTCGACTAACGAAAAAATTATACCGGGCGGCTCATGCAAAAATTGAAAATTCGATTTTTCAAGGCAAAAATTTTTCAAAATTAATGTTTAATTTGAATCACCCGGTATAATTTTTTCACTAGCCGAGTTTCGAACCATCAATTATTTCTAATGTGGCGCCATCTATTAATCACACGCGGAACTACCGACAGAATTGAGTTGGTTCGAAACTGGGCTAATGAAAAAATTATACCGGGTGGCCCATGCAAAAATTGAAACTTCAATTTTTCGGAACGATATTTTTCATAAATCGATATTTTATTTGAGACACCCGGTATAATTTTTTCACTAGCCGAGTTTCGAACCATCAATTATTTGGCAAAGTGGCGCCATCTATTAATCGCATACGGAACTATCGACAAAATTGGGTTGGTTCGAAACTCGGCTAATGAAAAAGTATACCGGGTGTCTCAAATAAAAATTGAAACTTTAATATTTCGGAAGGATATTTTTCATAAATCGATATTTTATTTGAGACACCCGGTATAATTTTTTCATTAGCCGAGTTTCGAACCGTCGGGTTTTTAAAGTGACGCCATCTATTATTTGATTGCGGAACTATTCGAACTAACTTTGCAATTTGGTTGGTTTGAAACTTGGCTAACGAAAATTATTATACAGGCAATTTAAACAAAAATTGAGTTTAATTTTATAGCATAGTGCCATCTTTTATTGAATAGGCGAACTAATGCCAATTAATATTGTTTTACCGACTTGGTTTGGAACTGGGGTAAGGAAAAATTCAAACTAGCAATTATGAAAAGTATATTATTTATTGCATAAAAATTAAAAAATAAAACCAGAATAGAACTGAAACTATTATTTTGTTTTTATTGGTTTTATCAATATAATATTTTTAGAGAACGCATTTTTTCTACAAACAAGCAAATATCGCTAAAAAATACGCCACGATTAATAAAGAAACTTGTATTTGAAACATTTTTCTTTAAAACCACAAATGGCGAAGTTTTTGGCTATATTCTAGACATTTGACACACCCTGTATATCACAATAAGATAAGATTTGTTAATGTTCTTCAGGAAAAAAATGTTGGGCTAGTCAGGTTAAGGAGATTGCGCAATGTTATACAGTGTAAAAGAAAGGATTTCTTTTTAAGATGTATAAACGACATTTTTTCCGATTTTGCCTTGTAACTACGTCGGACAATAGCCAAAGCCTCTTCATGATCTACTTCGAAAGAAAAGCGATAAGGCACAAAGCCAAGTTATGGATTCGCTACGCATTTGTCATTTGGCCTTTTGGAAAAGAAAAGCTCAATAACTTTCAGGAATACTAATCATCTAAAAATCCAGTTCACCACAGAAGTAGAAAAAAACGGACATACTCGTAAGGAAATCTTCCAACAGGCTTCAAGGTATATGGATCCACACCCCTACAAAAAGAGAAGAACGACTGACGCATAGGCAGACATCTACATAAACATAACATCTCCACCACCTACAAACCTAACAAGATCATAGGAGCTTCTCCCAAGAATCCAAAGGACAAACTGAAGCTGGAAAACCTATAAATTTATTCCATACACAGCGACTAGTGTGACAAAAATTACGTAGGACAGACCAACAGAGCAATAGCCGTCAGAGTGGAGGAACCTTGTTTATTTATACTAAAAGAAACATTTCAAATTTGAAATTAAAATAATTTTGTTCGATTGGATCGCTTCATTGATTTGACAGCGTTTTAAATTTATAGGTTAAATTACGTTTTAAACCTTTTTGTGGTCAAAATTACAATTTAATCAAGTGAATTTAGTTCTTGTTATAATTGGGCAAGGATCACAACAAATTTAACCTCAAACAAATTTTTATGACTAAACTTTACCAGAAAAAAATTAAAAGATTCTAAATCTTAAATATTTGATACAAAAAAGATTTTTAACTCACCATCAAATAAAATATAATCCACTTTTTACTTTTTTTATAAGATTTAAGCAAAAACAACTTCCATAAAGAAAACACATCGTCAAATTGACAGATTATTTTGACAAATCGTTCTGAAGTTGGTTACCTTAAGAGTGGTCGGTAAGATAGAAATCAATTTTAATCACACAATATTTTTTTTTTACTTTTTAATTATTTAAATCAACAATTTTGTTACTAAAAATGTTACTATACCTTCTTTATTAACTAAAAAAAATCATTTTAAATTTCAAATCAAAATAATTTTGTTCGATTGGATTTCTTCATTTCTGACAGCGTTTTAAATTTATAGGTTAAGTTACATTTTACGTTTTAAACGTTTTTTGTGGGCAAAATTACAATTTAATCGAATGAATTCAGTTCTTGTTGTACTTGAACAAGGATTCTGAAGCAATCACAACAAGTTTTAGCTCCGAAAAAGCGCAAATTTTTTAAGGATTTCAACTTTACCAGAAAAGGATGAAGTAAAAGATTCTAAATCTTAGATATTTGATACAAAAAAGACTTTTAACTCACCATCGAATAAAATTTACACCATTTCTTACTTCTTTTATAAGATTAAAGCAAAAACAACTTTCATAAAGAAAACACATCGTCAAATTGACAGATTATTTTGACAAATCGTTCGGAAGTTGTCTACTATAAAATTCGTCGGTAAGTACGGCCGCCGACCAAAAGATGGCGTTAATTGGAAGTTATTAATTTAATTATTGGCCGGTAAGATAGAAATCAATTTCTTTGATTTTATAAGTAATTCTTTCAGAAAGTTTAAATTCAAACTTTTCTTTACGTATTAAATCATATTAAATCTACAAAATTACTCACCTCTACTAAAGGATAACAAATTTCATTGTAAACGGTTTCCGTACACGACTCCTGATTATAAACCGAATCAAAAGTGAACCGTTTCGGAAACGCCGCTCCTTCCCCCGGATCCCAAATCTCCGCGACGCAATCTTTCAACGTTACGCAACATTTCGAATTCAAATCAATCTCCTTTTTGTTCATCGGACGACATCTCACAATCACCTTCACATTTTCACCCATTTTTAAAAACCCTAAAAAAAAAAATTAAAAGAAATGACGATTAGTAATTTTCTTAGAAACACCACGTGGTTTAATCAGGTCAAGGTCAAAATCATTTTCGTAAATATGAATAAGAAATTGATATCGATTTATTTTTATTACACCGAGCGACATAAGTTACAAGAAACAAGTTTGAACTTGACATATTGAACTCCGCGTTACCACGGTTACCGCGCGTTTACAACAATAAAATTGGATTTTTTTTAATTAATTTAAATATTTAATGATTTCTTTTTGTTTCGTTACAACTAAATTAATTAATTCATTTATTTACCTTAAATCTTAATCGATTAAATTCACTTTTTTTACAAATTAAATCACCTTGTTTAAGAAAGAACGTTTTGTGTTGTTATAACGAAAGTCTTTTACATACTGAGTTGAACGAATCGAACTTGTTCAAGAACACGCGAACCCCACCGATTAATAATTATTTAAAATTGCTCTAAATATCGGAAAAAAAAATTTCCAACCTCGAAATCATCATAAATCACTCAATTAAAACCAGATTTTTATTTCTCAAAATTGGTACAATTACTAATTTAATTTGTTTTTAACACAACTCGTTTTAATTCGCCTCAAAAGTATAAAAACGCAATTTATTCGACCTAAATTCCATTAAACACCAAAATGTCAAAGTTATTCAAAGTTGTTTTGCTCATTAATGCAATTGTAATAAATTTCGGGGCCAAACTCCGTAAGTTTTTAATTTTAAATTAATTATTTAACCACATCATTTTAATTTAAGCCGACCAAGTCGGACGATGCAGCATATCATCCCCCGAAATAAAACAATGTTTAAGCAAAAACATTCAAGAAGCGATCATTTTCTTCAAAAACGGAAACCCCCAAATGGGGCTCCCCTCATTAGACCCCCTAAAAGTACCCAGCTTGGTAATCGGGGAAGGAACCGGCCCGGTTAATGTGGTTCAAAATTTCTCTAACGTTATGCTTTATGGGTTCACAGATGCCACAATGAACGTTAAAACGTAAGACATTAATTAATTAATTAATTAAAATAATTAAATTGATTTGAAGGGCCGATTTAAACAAAGGATTAATAGAAGCTGAAACGGTTACGAAACGAATCGAAATGTTGGCCGATTACACCGTGGACGGGCGCATTTTGGTACTTCCGGTTAAAGGGAGCGGAAAATGCAACATAACCATCATCAAGGCCAAAACAACCCACGTTATAGAAGGGGAAAAAATCGAAAAAAATGGGAAAATTTATTTCCACCTTAAAGATTATCGCGTTGAGATGGAACCAGAAAGGATGTTTTATCACTTTGAGAACTTATTCGATGGGGATGAGAGAATGGGGGCCGAAATCAACAAGGTGATGAACGAAAATTGGAAGGAAGTTTATGCTGATGTTAAATTAGGTTATGATAAAACGTATGGGATGATTTTTTTGGGGCTAGCCAATAGCTTATTTAGTAGGGTTACTTTCGATGATATCTTTTTACCTTAAATTGAAATCAATCAAAAAATCACAACGAATTTATAATTAATAAATCGTAACAATTACAGTTTGCTTTTTTTTTAACACAAAAATACTTTAATTTAAAGATTTTTAACTCACCATCGAATAAAATTTTCTTCTTTTATTAGATTTAAGCAAAAAAACATCTTTATTTGCTTAAAATTTAAGCAAAAACTTAATAATACGACATTGTCAAATTATTTTGACAAACCGTTCTGAAGTTGGTTACGGTAAAATTGGTCGGTAAGATAGAAATCAATTTGGCGTTCAACTTTACGAATAATGACAATGACAGATTGTATTGTATTAATCGTTGTGAAGTTGGTTAGTTAATTGAAATCGAATTGTCATATTGACGTTTCAATTTTAATTAAATTCAAAATAAAATTTAAATCAAAAATATAAATACCTTTTTATTTTACCTAAATTCGATTCAAAATTAAATTAAATTGTAAATTAAAATAATTATTTTGATCGATTCATTTTTGACAGCTTTTTAAATTTGTAGGTTAAATTACGTTTTAAACCTTTTTGTGGGCAAAATTACAATTCAGTCGAATGAACTTAGTTCTTGTTGTAATTGGGTAAGTATTTTGAAGCTATCACAACAAATTTTACCCCCAAAAAAGCAAAAAATTTTTTTAGAACAAACTTTACCAGAAAAAAATTAAAAGATTATAAATCTTAAATATTTGATACAAAAAAGACTTTTAACTCACCATCGAATAAAATTTACGCCACTTCTTACTTCATTTATAAGATTTAAGCAAAAACAACTTTCATAAAGAAAACACCACATCGTCAAGTTGACAGATTATTTTGACAAATCGTTCTGAAGTTGGTTATCTTAAAAGTGGTCGGTAAGATAGAAATCTATTTGACGTTCCAACTGTAATCAAAAAAATATTTTTTTTACTTTTATATTTATTTAAAACAAAAATGTTGTGACTTAAAATGTTTCTATACCTTGCTTATAAACTAAAAAAAAACATTTTAAATTTGAAATCGAAATTTTGATCAATTCATTTTTGACAGCTTTTTAAATTTGTAGGTTAAATTACGTTTTACACCTTTTTGTGGGCAAAATTGTAATTTAATCGAATGAACTTAGTCCTTATTGTAATTGGGTAAGGATTTTGAAGCTATCACAACAAATTTTACCCCCAAAAAAGCAAAAAAATTTTTTAGAACAAACTTTACCAGAAAAAAAATTAAAAAATTCTAAATCTTAGATATTTGATACAAAAAAGACTTTTAACTCACCATCGAATAAAATTTACACCACTTCTTACTTCTTTTATAAGATTTAAGCAAAAATAACTTCCATAAAAAAAACGCGACATCGTCAAGTTGACAGATTATTTTGATAAATCGTTCTGAAGTTGGTTATCTTAAAAGTGGTCGGTAAGATAGAAATCTATTTGACGTTTCAACTGTAATCAAAAAATTATTTTTTTTACTTTTATATTTATTTAAAACAAAAATGTTGTGACTTAAAATGTTTCTATACCTTGCTTATAAACTAAAAAAAAACATTTTAAATTTGAAATCGAAATTTTGATCAATTCATTTTTGACAGCTTTTTAAATTTGTAGGTTAAATTACGTTTTAAACCTTTTCGTGGGCAAAATTACAATTCAATCGAATAAACTTAGTCCTTATTGTAATTGGGTAAGAATTTTGAAGCTATCACAACAAATTTTACCCCCAAAAAAGCAAAAAAATTTTTTAGAACAAACTTTACCAGAAAAAAAATTAAAAGATTATAAATCTTAGATATTTGATACAAAAAAGACTTTTAACTCACCATCGAATAAAATTTTCTACCTTTATTAGATTTAAGCAAAAAAACATCTTTATTTGCTTAAAATTTAAGCAAAAACTTAATAATACGACATTGTCAAATTATTTTGATAAATCGTTCTGAAGTTGGTTATCTTAAAAGTGGTCGGTAAGATAGAAATCTATTTGACGTTTCAACTGTAATCAAAAAATTATTTTTTTTACTTTTATATTTATTTAAAACAAAAATGTTGTGACTAAAAACGTTGCTCTACCTTGTTTATTAACTAAAAGAAACATTTCAAATTTGAAATCAAAATGATTTTGTTCGTTTGAACGCTTCATTTTTGACAGCTTTTTAAGTTTATAGGTTAAGTTACGTTTTACGCTTTAAACCTTCTTGTGGGCAAAATTACTATTCAATCAAGTGAATTTAGTTCTTGTTGTACTTGAATAAGGGTTTTGAAGCGATCACAACAAGTTCTAGCTCCGAAAAAGCGCAAAATTTGTAAGGATTTAAACTTTACCAGAAAAGAAATAAACGATTCTAAATCTTAGATATTTGATACAAAAAAGCTTTACTTTAACTTACCATCGAATAAAATTTATTCCACTCTTAATTCTTTTATAAAATTTCAGCAAAAACAACTTTCATAAAGAAAACACATCGTTAAGTTGACAGATCACTTTGACATATCGTTCGGAAGTTATCTACTATAAAATCCGTCGGTAAGAACGGCCGCCGGCCAAAAGATGGCGTTAGTTAGAAGTTATTAAATTTAAAATTATTATTAAAACAATATAACTAAAGTTTGCAATGTGGAAATTTGACTAAATAAGTGAGCAAATAAACAACTTAAATAAAATAAAAATTGTTATAAACTTAAACTTTTGAAAAAAAATTGATTCAATATGTCATATTGACGTTTCAATTTTCATTTAAACAAATCGATCGTAATTTTCTAGTTTAATGAAGCACAAACAAACTGAAATAACTCCTTTTTATCGCCGCCACAACGTAATCGAACGTGTTAACGTTAAAACGTAAAATGAACGGGGTAATATTCAAAAAATTACTAATAATTTCGACTTGGAAGCTCCAAAAAATCTTTACAACGATCATTCTAACAACGAACATCATCAACATTTACCTAAAACGAAATTCTATTAAAAAATTAATAAACAAATTTAAAAGATTCGACGAAAAAATCCGAGATTTAAACCAAATTGAGGAAAAAAAAAAGTTTTTTGGTATCATTTTGGCCCATATTTTTTGGTACGTACCGAAATTAATCGTTTCTTTCTCAATTTTGATGCCCCCAATGTTAGTAATCGAGGTGGTTTTATCGATTTTGTTAATAAAATTGAAGTTGCGGTACCAATTAATTAATAAATTGTATTACAACGTTTTAAAAGATCGCAATAAAGAGTTAGTTTTGATTAAAATACCTCAATTGCATTTAGATTTACACAAAATCGCTGATTTAATTAATGGAATTTATAAAACCCCACTTTTAATTTGGACGGGGTTCTCAATAATTGGAACGATTATAACTTCATTGAATTTGTTAACTTTAAGAAATGATTTTAATGTTAAAACGGTTGTTTATTTTGGGTATTATACGATTTCGAGCATCGCAGAGTTATTTTTTGGGTTTTATCGGTTCATTTCTGTTGAGGACGAGGCTAAGAAGATTGGGAGTGTTTTATTAAGCTCCGAAACGAATTGGATTAATCGTTATTTAATGAACTTGACGCTTAATCAATTTGAATTTTGCAACGTTAACTTTCTTCTTGGAGATTCCCCGATTAAATGGACCACAACTTTTGGTGTAAATAATTTGTTCTAAAAATAAAAATAAAGTTAATTAATTCGTTTTAGATTTTAACCAACATTTGTACTTACGTGGTTATTCTAATACAATTTAATGGGATGTAATTAAAAAAAAAATTTGAAGTGGAGTTTCTAAACATGCAAATAAATCTTTTTTTTTCAAAAATATTTATTGGGTTGGTGTTGGAATGAGTGGAATCTGAGGTGTAATAGTAGTAGTGGTGGTCGCCCGAGGAGGATCCGGGTTTAACTGGCGCCAAGACGACACCGACGACGACGACCGTTGTTTCGAGACTATTTCGTGAATTTCGGGCGTCAGGAATCCCAATCTGCGGAATTTTCTATTTAACAATACGCCCAAATCTGTTTTTATACGCAAGAATCGACGTCAGAGATTCCCCGCTTTAATAAAATAATAATAAATTCATTTTAAACGGTTCTATTTAGATAAAAATATTTGGAGATCGCGAGAAAAACATCGTCTTTGTAAACAAACTCAATTTTTTTAAGGACTTTCTAAAGGTTTGACATTAAAAAAGTGTAAACAAATTCCTAAACATGACGTTTCATAAAATTGACATTTAATTTTGATAAATTGTTGTGAAGTTGGTTACAGTTGGTAACATTGAATTTGTGTCACTTAACTTTAATTAAATTTATTTAAAAATTTTATTTTACCTTGTTTTTTTTTCAATTCGTAGCCAATATGATCGTATCATCCGAAATGATCTTCTTCGTGATTGAGTTATTTTCGACAACTCTTTAAACTTGTCGGTTAGGTTATAAACCTTTTTCCTTCTTAGAATCAGTTATTTTGAAACTATCACGAAAAACTTCGCCTCCGAAAAAGCGTGATACTTCTTAGAACATTTAACTTTACCTAAAAAGTCCTTCCAATTCTAAATCTTTACTCCGAAAAAGATACATGACAGGTACATATCAATGACAGTAATAAACTGGTGTGAAGTTGGTTACATTGAAATCAAAGTGACGTTTGAAATTTAATAATTCATTTCGTTTTTGACTAAATAATGTTATTTTATCTTTTATTTACACCCAAATAATTAAAATTAAATAAAATTTCCTAACCTTAACTAGTCNTTGATTAAAAAAAATTGATTCAATATGTCACATTGACGTTTCAATTTTCATTTAAACAAATCGATCGTAATTTTCTAGTTTAATGAAGCACAAACAAACTGAAATAACTCCTTTTTATCGCCGCCACAACGTAATCGAACGTGTTAACGTTAAAACGTAAAATGAACGGGGTAATATTCAAAAAATTACTAATAATTTCGACTTGGAAGCTCCAAAAAATCTTTACAACGATCATTCTAACAACGAACATCATCAACATTTACCTAAAACGAAATTCTATTAAAAAATTAATAAACAAATTTAAAAGATTCGACGAAAAAATCCGAGATTTAAACCAAATTGAGGAAAAAAAAAAGTTTTTTGGTATCATTTTGGCCCATATTTTTTGGTACGTACCGAAATTAATCGTTTCTTTCTCAATTTTGATGCCCCCAATGTTAGTAATCGAGGTGGTTTTATCGATTTTGTTAATAAAATTGAAGTTGCGGTACCAATTAATTAATAAATTGTATTACAACGTTTTAAAAGATCGCAATAAAGAGTTAGTTTTGATTAAAATACCTCAATTGCATTTAGATTTACACAAAATCGCTGATTTAATTAATGGAATTTATAAAACCCCACTTTTAATTTGGACGGGGTTCTCAATAATTGGAACGATTATAACTTCATTGAATTTGTTAACTTTAAGAAATGATTTTAATGTTAAAACGGTTGTTTATTTTGGGTATTATACGATTTCGAGCATCGCAGAGTTATTTTTTGGGTTTTATCGGTTCATTTCTGTTGAGGACGAGGCTAAGAAGATTGGGAGTGTTTTATTAAGCTCCGAAACGAATTGGATTAATCGTTATTTAATGAACTTGACGCTTAATCAATTTGAATTTTGCAACGTTAACTTTCTTCTTGGAGATTCCCCGATTAAATGGACCACAACTTTTGGTGTAAATAATTTGTTCTAAAAATAAAAATAAAGTTAATTAATTCGTTTTAGATTTTAACCAACATTTGTACTTACGTGGTTATTCTAATACAATTTAATGGGATGTAATTAAAAAAAAAATTTGAAGTGGAGTTTCTAAACATGCAAATAAATCTTTTTTTTTCAAAAATATTTATTGGGTTGGTGTTGGAATGAGTGGAATCTGAGGTGTAATAGTAGTAGTGGTGGTCGCCCGAGGAGGATCCGGGTTTAACTGGCGCCAAGACGACACCGACGACGACGACCGTTGTTTCGAGACTATTTCGTGAATTTCGGGCGTCAGGAATCCCAATCTGCGGAATTTTCTATTTAACAATACGCCCAAATCTGTTTTTATACGCAAGAATCGACGTCAGAGATTCCCCGCTTTAATAAAATAATAATAAATTCATTTTAAACGGTTCTATTTAGATAAAAATATTTGGAGATCGCGAGAAAAACATCGTCTTTGTAAACAAACTCAATTTTTTTAAGGACTTTCTAAAGGTTTGACATTAAAAAAGTGTAAACAAATTCCTAAACATGACGTTTCATAAAATTGACATTTAATTTTGATAAATTGTTGTGAAGTTGGTTACAGTTGGTAACATTGAATTTGTGTCACTTAACTTTAATTAAATTTATTTAAAAATTTTATTTTACCTTGTTTTTTTTTCAATTCATAACCAATATGATCGAATCATCCAAAATGATCTTCTTCGTGATTGAGTTATTTTCGACAACTCTTTAAACTTGTCGGTTAGGTTATAAACCTTTTTCCTTCTTAGAATCAGTTATTTTGAAACTATCACGAAAAACTTCGCCTCCGAAAAAGCGTGATACTTCTTAGAACATTTAACTTTACCTAAAAAGTCCTTCCAATTCTAAATCTTTACTCCGAAAAAGATACATGACAGGTACATATCAATGACAGTAATAAACTGGTGTGAAGTTGGTTACATTGAAATCAAAGTGACGTTTGAAATTTAATAATTCATTTCGTTTTTGACTAAATAATGTTATTTTATCTTTTATTTACACCCAAATAATTAAAATTAAATAAAATTTCCTAACCTTAACTAGTCTAATTAGTATCTCCTTTAAATCTTACTTAGTCCAACGTAGATGTTTAAACTGTCAAATTTGACACATGACATGTTGTGAGTTAAAATAATCGAATCATGTTATCAATTTAACATATGCTTTATTAATTTGAAGTTTAATTTTCCAATTTGCGTGCTAAAAGTCAACATTTACTTGAAACCTGAATAATCAATGTGCCGATGTAAAAGATGAAATTTGAAACGTTCTTTTTTTAACGTTAATGGATAGAAAATTAAAAATCCTTTGGAATGAACCCAAACTCGACTTATTTATCTAAAACCGTTATCGAGATATCTTAATTTTTAGCAAAAAAAAATGGCGGTTGTTTGACATTTGACAGTTTATAACTTAACTTTTTATTTTTTAATCCAAATATAACATGTTTGGTATCAAATTAAAGCATTTTTGATTCTTATTAAGATCGTTTCAATATTTATCAAAAAATCGTTATATTTAATTTTGACATTTGACAGTTTCTAACCTAACTTTTTTATTTTTTAACCCAAATATGTCACGTTTGGTATCAAATGAAAGCATTTTTGATTCTTATTAAGATCATTTCAATGTTCATCAAAAAATCGTTATACTTAATTTTGACATTTGACAGTTTCTAACCTAACTTTTTTATATTTTAACCCAAATATACCATATTTGATATCAAATGAAAGCATTTTTAATTCTTGTCAAGGTCAATATTTATTAAAAAATTGTTATACATATTTAATTTTGACATTTGACAGTTTCTAACCTAACTTTTTTTTACATTTTAACCCAAATATATCGTGTTTGATATCAAATGAAAGCACTTTTAATTCTTATCAAGATCATATCAGTATTTATCAAAAAATCGTTATATTTAATTTTGACATTTGACAGTTTCTAACCTAACTTTTTTATTTTTTAACACAAATATATCGTGTTTGGTATCAAATTAAAGCATTTTTGATTCTTATTAACATGATTTCAATATTTATCAAAAAATGTCAATTTTACTTGCAACCTGTCAAATTTGACATTTACTTGAAACCTTAATATTCAATGTGTCAATGTAAAAGATGAAATTTAAGATTTTAGAAAGAAAAATAAAAGTGTCAAATATTTAAATAACATTTGCTGTCAATTTAATAGTTAAACTGTCAAATTTGACTCATGACTTTGACATGTTGTGAATTAAAGTAATCGTATCTTGTCATTAACATGACATTTAATTATTAATTTGAAGTTTAATTTTCTNGAAAAATAAAAGTGTCAAATATTTAAATAACATTTGCTGTCAATTTAATAGTTAAACTGTCAAATTTGACTCATGACTTTGACATGTTGTGAATTAAAGTAATCGTATCTTGTCATTAACATGACATTTAATTATTAATTTGAAGTTTAATTTTTTAATTTGCATGCTAAAATGTCAAATTTACTTTCAACTTGTCAAATTTGACATTTACTTCAAACCTTAATATTCAATATGTAGATGTAAAAGATGAAATTTGAGAAATTGGAGGAAAAAATAATTATATTTAATTGATATAAGTGACATTTCCAACTTAAACTGTCAATTTAATATGTAAACTGTCAAATTTGACACATGTCATTTACAAGTTGTTTATAAAGTAATCGTATCTTGTCATTAATATGACATTTAATCAATTTCGAGTTTAATTTTCCGATTTCAATGCTAAATGTCAATTTTACTATCAACCTGTCAAATTTGACATTTACTTGATAACCTAATATTTAATATGTCGATGTAAAAGATGAAGTTTGAGAAATTGGAGGGAAAAATAATCATATTTCGTTGATATAAGTGACATTTCAAACTTAATCTGTCAATTTAATATTTAAACTGTCAAATTTAACACATGTCATTTACAAGTTGTTTATTAAAGGAATCGTATCTTGTCATTAACATGACATTTAATCAATTTGGAGTTTAATTTTCCGATTTNAGTATTTAAATAACATTTGCTGTCAATTTAATAGTTAAACTGTCAAATTTGACTCATGACATTGACATGTTGTGAATTAAAGTAATCGTATCTTGTCATTAACATGACATTTAATTATTAATTTGAAGTTTAATTTTCTAATTTGCATGCTAAAATGTCAAATTTACTTTCAATTTGTCAAATTTGACATTTACTTCAGACCTGTAATATTCAATGTGTCGATGTAAAAGATGAAATTTGAGAAATTGGAAGGAAAAATAATAATATTTAGTTGATATAAGTGACATTTCTAACTTAATCTGTCAATTTAATATTTAAACTGTCAAATTTGACACATGTCATTTACAAGTTGTTTATTAAAGTAATCATATCTTGTCATTAATAAGACATTTAATCAATTTGGAGTTTAATTTTCTGATTTTAATGCTAAATGTCAATTTTACTATCCACCTGTCAAATTTGACATTCACCTGATAACATAATATTTAATGTGTCGATGTAAAAGGTGAAGTTTGAGAAATTGAAGGGAACAATAATCATATTTAGTTGACATTTTAAACTTAATCTGTCAATTCAATATTTAAACTGTCAAATTTGACACATGTCATTTACAAGTTGTTTATTAAAGTCATCGTATCTTGTCATTAACATGACATTTAATCAATTTGGAGTTTAATTTTCCGATTTCAATGCTAAATGTCAATTTTACTATCAACCTGTCAAATTTGACATTTACTTGATAACCTAATATTTAATATGTCGATGTAAAAGATGAAGTTTGAGAAATTGGAGGGAAAAGTAATCATATTTAGTTGGCATTTTAAACTTAATCTGTCAATTTAATATTTAAACTGTCAAATTTGACACATGTCATTTACAAGTTGTTTATTAAAGTAATCGTATCTTGTCATTAATAAGACATTTAATCAATTTGGAGTTTAATTTTCCGATTTCAATGCTAAATGTCAATTTTACTATCAACCTGTCAAATTTGACATTCACCTAATAATCTAATATTTAATGTGTTGATGTAAAAGATGAAATTTGAGAAATTGGAGGGAAAAATAATCATATTTAGTTGATATAAGTGACGTTTCTAACTTAATCTGTCAATTTAATATTTAAACTGTCAAATTTGACACATGTCATTTACAAGTTGTTTATTAAAAAGTAATCGTATCTTGTCATTAATATGACATTTAATCAATTTGGAGTTTAATTTTCCGATTTCAATGCTAAATATCAATTTTACTATTAACCTGTCAAATTTGACATTCACCTAATAATCTAATATTTAATGTGTCAATGTAAAAAATGAAATTTGAGAAATTGGAGGGAACAATAATCATATTTAGTTGATATAAGTGACATTTTTAACTTAATTTGTCAATTTAATATGTAAACTGTCAAATTTGACACATGTCATTTACAAGTTGTTTATTAAAGTAATCGTATCTTGTCATTAATAAGACATTTAATCAATTTGGAGTTTAATTTTCCGATTTTAATGCTAAATGTCAATTTTGCTATCCACCTGTCAAATTTGACATTCACTTGATAACCTAATATTTAATGTGTCGATGTAAAAGATGAAGTTTGAGAAATTGGAGGGAAAAATAATCATATCTAGTTGACATTTTAAACTTAATCTGTCAATTTAATATTTAAACTGTCAAATTTGACACATGTCATTTACAAGTTGTTTATTAAAGTAATCATATCTTGTCATTAATAAGACATTTAATCAATTTGGAGTTTAATTTTCTGATTTTAATGCTAAATGTCAATTTTACTATCAACCTGTCAAATTTGACATTTACTTGATAACCTAATATTTAATATGTCGATGTAAAAGATGAAGTTTGAGAAATTGGAGGGAAAAGTAATTATATTTAGTTGACATTTTAAACTTAATCTGTCAATTTAATATTTAAACTGTCAAATTTGACACATGTCATTTACAAGTTGTTTATTAAAGTAATCATATCTTGTCATTAATAAGACATTTAATCAATTTGGAGTTTAATTTTCCGATTTTAATGCTAAATGTCAATTTTACTATCCACCTGTCAAATTTGACATTCACCTGAAACCTTAATATTCAATGTATCAATGAAAAGGATGAAATTTGAGAGATTGGCGGGGAAAATAATCGTAAATAGATTAAATAAGTGACATTTCCAACTTAACCTGTCAAATTTGACACTTAATGTCAAAATGATGTTTAAACTGGTGTATCTCGCTTGTTTTTGAAGATAACCCTATCGTGTTTGGGCTCGTTTTAAAGGATTTTTCGTCGAGATTACAAATTTAATATAATAATTTTACTATCAACCTGTCAAATTTGACATTAACCTAAAACCTTAATATTCAATGTATCAATGAAAAGGATGAAATTTGAGAGATTGGCGGGGAAAATAATCGTGAATAGATTAAATAAGTGACATTTCCAACTTAACCTGTCAAATTTGACACTTAATGTCAAAATGATGTTTAAACTGGTGTATCTCGGTTGTTTTTGAAGATAACCCTATCGTGTTTGGGCTCGTTTTAAAGGATTTTTCGTCGAGATTACAAATTTAATATCATAATTTCAATATCATCGCTGTGATCTCTAAGAATCACAAAATCTTCACCGATAACGTCAATAACACATCTAATTCTTAACTATTTAATCTCTTAACAAAAAAAAATTCGAATTCGATGTTTTTTTATGCCTTATCAATCCATTATTTGTTAAAAAATGTGAAAAATTCGTTTAAAAAAATTTGTTAGGAAATTAATTATTTATACGACGCGGTCAGAACAACGGCGCCAAGTGGGATTCTACGCGATGAAGACGAGGACTCACTGGCCTCACATCAACAAGAACAACAAGAAAAAGTGGAACTAACGAAAACCTCTCGTAGTAGTAAACAAACCGATTTTTCACCGCACATATTTTGAATTTCATAAAGGAAAAACACAACAAAAACATTCCTTTTTATTTCGATTATTTCGTAATAAAAAAACATAATTAATTAATTAAGAGATTTCAATAAAAATAAATGAATCATTTAATGGTGTTTTTTCGGACCAGGATAAGAAACTGTATATGGGCCGAGTTGGTTTTTGAGAGATTCTGATGACGTCCGTTGATCGACATTCTTTCGCGTTATTATAAACAAATTAAGTAAATTTTTAAAAATAATTCAAGGCGATGACAGCTTAAATCGATTTCAAAAAATAAATTCCCCTCATAATCATTAATAATTTATATAGAAAATTACAGAGAACTTACACGAAATAGACCTTCAATGTTTACACCTTGACTAATTGAGTTAAAAATGAATTTCTTTATGTTTTAATGAAAAATCTTTGATTCCATTAAATCCTTTTACTGATTATTATTGAATTATTAATTAAAAACGAGCCAGGATGTGATGGGACGTTTTTGCGGCGGGTTTGGAATTTCCAAGCCTAATTGCCCCATTGTTCTTCGACTTTATTTATATTATTTTTTAAGACAACTTTAAAGTAACATCGAAAAAAAGTGTTAATTGTTGTTTAAACGATTCTCATCTCAATTTATTAATAACCAAAGGATCAAATAAACATGATCCTTCTAAACGTCCTTAATCTTTATTATTAAGCTTTAAAAAAAAATAAAAAAAATTAAGATGCACCTAAAGGCACGCGAGGAATGTTTGGGAGTAATAATTCAAGCCCGAAAAACTAGCGACAAGACGAGCGAAGAAGATCCGCCTCCCGTTTCATTTACAGCATTTCATTTAGAGATGAAATGAGAAAAAAAACTCGGGGGATATCCAAAAATCGAGATGCCTTCGCTCGTGACGTCAGCGAGCGCTTATAAAACAAATGTTAAACGCGCTCCGAGGCACACTCGATCTTAACGCTCGGTCTGTATCAGAACTTAAAAAAAATCGTATCCACGTGATTCGAATTTAATAAAAAAAATTTAATCTTACCCAAAATAATGTTAAGTGCGAAAGTTTTTCTTTTTGGAATTTTCTGTGCGGTGATTTCCTCGGGGAATTCCTCGGCTATTCCGATGTGGGAATATTTAACGCGAGACGAAAAAGTAAGTTGATTTTTATCTGAAATTTGAGAGAGAGAAGAACGAATTATTTATTAAATTGTTTATAGGTGATGTATCTTTTCAATATGTTCCAAATTCAAGTTCAAAGTTATTGTAAAACGGACGTGTGTAAGCAGGACTTGAAAAATTTCGGTTGGAAGAAATTGAAGGAGATGAGCGAGGATGGTTTGGACGAAATGGATCCGTTTCAAAGGAATTCTAATGATATAAGTGAGTATTTCATCTCGCAAGATGTACTTTTACATTCTGAATTAATTGCAACGTATTTTCGTATCGATAAAGCCGTTCTTTTTTTAACGTTAATGGATAGAAAATTAAAAATCCTTTGAAATGAACCCAAACTCGACCTATTTATCTCTAACCGTTATCGAGATATCTTAATTTTTAGCAAAAAAAAAAATGGCGGTTATTTGACATTTGACAGTTTATAACCTCACTTTTTTATTTTTCAACGTAAACATATCGTATTTGGTATTAAATTAAAGCATTTTTGATTCTTATTAAGATCATATTAATATTTATCAAAAAATCGTGATATTTAATTTTGACATTTGACAGTTTCTAACCTAACTTTTTTATATTTTAACCCAAATATATCGTGTTTGGTATCAAATGAAAGCATTTTTGATTCTTATTAAGATCGTTTCAATATTTATCAAATAATCGTGATATTTAATTTTGACATTTGACAGTTTCTAACCTAACTTTTTTACATTTTAACCCAAATATATTGTGTTTGGTATCAAATAAAAGCATTCTTGATTATTATTATGATCGTTTCAATATTTATCAAAAAGTAGTGATATTTAATTTTGACATTTGACAGTTTCTAATCTAACTTTTTTATTTTTTAATCCAAATATATCATGTTTGGTATCAAATGAAAGCATTTTTGATTCTTATTAAGATGATTTCAATATTTATCAAAAAATATCAATTTTACTTCCAACCTGTCAAATTTGACAGTTACTTCAAACCTTAATATTCAATATGTCGATGTAAAAGATGAAATTTGAGAGATTGGAGAGAAAAATTATTATATTTTGTTTATATAAATGAGATTTCAAACATAATCTGTCAAATTTGACACATGTCATTTACAAGTTGTTTATTAAAGTAATCGTATTTTGTCATTATCATGACATTTAATTAATTTGAAGCTTAAATTTCCGTTGTAAATGCTAAAATGAATAGACTATATAAGTGACATTTCCAACTTAATCTGTCAAATTTGATACAAAATGTCAAAATAATGTTTAAACCAGTGAGTGTCTCGGTTGTTTTTGAAGATAACAGTATCGTGTTTGGGCTCGTTTTAAAGGATTTTTAATCGAGATTACGAATTTGTTAAAAAAAATCAATTATCAAAAAATTGTTATATTTAATTTTGACATTTGACAGTTTCCAACCTAACTTTTTTATTTTTTAATCCAAATATATCGTGTTTGGTATCAAATAAAAGCATTTTTGATTCTTATTAAGATGATTTCAATATTTATCAAAAAAACGTTATATTTAATTTTGACATTTGACAGTTTCCAACCTAACTTTTTTATTTTTTAACCCAAATATATCGTGTTTGGTATCAAATGGAAGCACTTTTGTTATAATTATTGTTGCAGAAGTTTATTTTGTTATATATTCAGTTTCCTGAGTGTTACCACTAAGGAGTTAAAAAAACAATAAATTCCTCCACTTTTCATACTTTCGTACTTTTCTCGATATTGGCACATCTGAGAGCAAAAGTGCAAGAGAGCAGTATTGTTAAGAATAAAATTTGCTACAACTTTTGTTCTAAAAGTTTTTTGATAGCATGCTCCGATTCCGGAGTGTTACCATCAACTATATAAAATAACGAAATTTATCAAATTTTCATATTTTCATATTTTTCTCAATATCTATGCATCTAAGAGCAAAAGTGCAAGAGAGCAATATTGCTAAGAATAAAATATGCTACAACTTTTGTTCTAAAAGTTTTTTGATAGCATGCTCCGATTCCGAAGTATTACCATTACCTACTTAAAACAGCGAAATTCATAAAATTTTCATATTTTCCTATTTTTCTCAATATCTATGCATCTAAGAGCAAAAGTGCAAGAGAGCAATATTGCTAAGAATAAAATTTGCTACAACTTTTGTTCTAAAAGTTTTTTGATAGCATGCTCCGATTCCGAAGTATTACCATTACCTACTTAAAACAGCGAAATTCATAAAATTTTCATATTTTCCTATTTTTCTCAATATCTATGCATCTAAGAGCAAAAGTGCAAGAGAGCAATATTGCTAAGAATAAAATTTGCTACAACTTTTGTTCTAAAAGTTTTTTGATAGCATGCTCCGATTCCGAAGTATTACCATTACCTACTTAAAACAGCGAAATTCATAAAATTTTCATATTTTCCTATTTTTCTCAATATCTATGCATCTAAGAGCAAAAGTGCAAGAGAGCAATATTGCTAAGAATAAAATTTGCTACAACTTTTGTTCTAAAAGTTTTTTGATAGCATGCTCCGATTCCGAAGTATTACCATTACCTACTTAAAACAGCGAAATTCATAAAATTTTCATATTTTCCTATTTTTCTCAATATCTATGCATCTAAGAGCAAAAGTGCAAGAGAGCAATATTGCTAAGAATAAAATTTGCTACAACTTTTGTTCTAAAAGTTTTTTGATAGCATGCTCCGATTCCGAAGTATTACCATTACCTACTTAAAACAGCGAAATTCATAAAATTTTCATATTTTCCTATTTTTCTCAATATCTATGCATCTAAGAGCAAAAGTGCAAGAGAGCAATATTGCTAAGAATAAAATTTGCTACAACTTTTGTTCTAAAAGTTTTTTGATAGCATGCTCCGATTCCGAAGTATTACCATTACCTACTTAAAACAGCGAAATTCATAAAATTTTCATATTTTCCTATTTTTCTCAATATCTATGCATCTAAGAGCAAAAGTGCAAGAGAGCAATATTGCTAAGAATAAAATTTGCTACAACTTTTGTTCTAAAAGTTTTTTGATAGCATGCTCCGATTCCGAAGTATTACCATTACCTACTTAAAACAGCGAAATTCATAAAATTTTCATATTTTCCTATTTTTCTCAATATCTATGCATCTAAGAGCAAAAGTGCAAGAGAGCAATATTGCTAAGAATAAAATTTGCTACAACTTTTGTTCTAAAAGTTTTTTGATAGCATGCTCCGATTCCGGAGTGTTACCATCAACTACTTAAAACAACGAAATTTATCAAATTTTCATATTTTCGTATTTTTCTCTATATCTATGCATCTAAGAGCAAAAGTGCAAGAGAGCAATATTGCTAAGAATAAAATTTGCTACAACTTTTGTTCTAAAAGTTTTTTGATAGCATGCTCCGATTCCGGAGTGTTACCATCAACTACTTAAAACAACGAAATTTATCAAATTTTCATATTTTCGTATTTTTCTCAATATCTATGCATCTAAGAGCAAAAGTGCAAGAGAGCAATATTGCTAAGAATAAAATTTGCTACAACTTTTGTTCTAAAAGTTTTTTGATAGCATGCTCCGATTCCGGAGTGTTACCATCAACTACTTAAAACAACGAAATTCATCAAATTTTCGTATTTTTCTCTATATCTATGGATCTGAGAGCAAAAGTGTAAGAGAGCAATATTACAAAGACTAAAATTTACTACAACTTTTGTTCTAAAAGTTTTTTGTAACGTGCTCAATTGACATATTACATGTGTGTATGTTATACATGTATGTGTTAATCAATTTTGGGAGGATATGTTGTTAATTATAATACCTTGCAACTTTTTTCTTCTATTTGTGCCATCTCCGCTATCGAAGATTAGCGATAAGGTCCTCAAAGTTCAAACCTGTCCAATTCCTGATATTCCACATCCATGACAGTTTCATGGACTGCACTCCACTCAGCACTTCCTCGTTGCTTGTTTGGGTCCATGGGATCTTCTCGAATTCATATTAACAGTCTTCAGAGTCCAAGTTTTCCTTCGACAATTAATTTTGAGATTAATTGCGTCTATAATAAAAATAAAATGACTCGTTTAAATTCTTACACGATGAAAGAATTTTTAAAAAGATTTTTTTTCCATTTCGAAGAAATACTTCATTTACTTCACCTGATATGTACGCAGAGAGACACATTTATAAATAACTCAAGGTGAAATAACTAACCTGTCTAATTCAAACACACTTATTTGCGCTAATAGTCATCGGATTTTATCTTTTTTCTCCGTAATTTTTTTATTTTTACATTTTTTTACTCTATTATTAAATTTAAATGAAAAAAAAAATGTTTCTAATTTTATAGCGACGATTCATCAATACTTTAAAAACAAAATGTCACTGCAAATAATATAAATCCTTGACACGAAAGTAAATAAATCTCATCTTTTATTATTATTATTATAATAACTAAGATGTATTTTTTTTTCTTTCACATTTGTTATGATATATCGCTCATCGAAAACGTCCTTGTAACAATTCCTCGTTGCTTTATTATCATTTCAACATTTTTTTTTTAAATATCAAGAAGGGAAATGCTCGTGACCTTTGGAAACGAACACAACGACAATTGTGAGGCTTCGTTTAACAGTTCGAAAGGAAGAGATTACAAAAATATTACTTCCTCGTTGTGTTGGCGCCGATATAAATTATCATTCGAATACAGCAAAACGACCTCCGGTAAGGTCCGAAGGCTCTTGACCTCTTTTGAAATCTCACATTGAAAAAAAATTAAAATTAAATTAAAAAAATACTTTGAAAAGCCGAGGTTTTGACCTCAAACGTCCAAATTAATATCAACAAGAAAACAAACACGATAAATACGACAGATAATGATGATGAAAAGATGACGGAAGTTTTTTTTTATTACGAAAATAATCGGAAGTTGGTTTCAAAATAATAATTATCGAAATTATTTGTAAATAAATTAAAAAAATCGTTTTAATGTTTTAATTTAAACTGTCACAAAATGTAAACAAAGTGAAGTTAGGTATTAATTAATATGGTAACAATCAAGTTGCAATTAAAACCCATAGATGGCGCAATTTCCTCAAACACTAAAACGTCAAGAAAAATTTTTAACCTAACTTTTTACTTAATGATTTTTTCTTTTTATTTTAGTTTGGGATACCGTAATGGAGGGACACAAAAACTCAATCAATAAATCAACTCGTAACGAAGAAATTTCAACGATCAAACCGAATTCTTTCGATGATTACCTCGAATTAGACGCTTCGGCGAAAATTGAAACTGTATCAAAAGTACTTCCACCGAAAGGATTTAATTATAACCAACAGCCGATGATTTTAGTTGGGAGCGGTTCGCCCGAATATAAATTAGAATTAAATCGGTTTAAAAATCAAGAAAAGGATACCTTTAGTTTCGGGCCATCGTCGAATAAGATCCAAGAAGCAACGACGGAAAATGTAAAAATTTTCGATAGTTACGGTGATTATCAAAGGATTCCGTTGCAAGGTCCATGGGTGGTTAAAGTGCATCCGGATGGGACTCCTGTGAAGGGAAGTAGTTCGGAGACGGTACCGGAAGACGACGATTTGAGACTTTATCAAATGACTAAAGTTGCAATTCAAAGCTTGTAGGATTCTTCATCATATTCTTATTAACACCTGTTTTCGCCTGTGATACAAAAACGAAAAAGATTAAAAACAATGGATAACGATTATTTAAAAATGTAAATTAATTAATAATTTATCAACTAAGTTAAGTTAATGTTAAAGTTCTTTTTTAATTTAGAATGATTACGTTCGCTTTTTGCATGCTGTGATTATAATGCATTATAAAAGAAAAAAATTTGTATATTTCTTGTACATAAATTAATATTATTAATTTTTTTTTAATAAATGATTTCTTTAAAAATATTTAGTACTTTTTATCTTACACTTTTTGTACTGCAATCATTTGTACCCCAATTTAGCATCTTCTTAAACCACATAGAAAGGATTTAATGATTTTTAACGAAAAAATTAGGTTCAATCCCAAAATTTTTGACGTTTTAAAACTGTCAATTGTGTTTATAACCAAATAAAGAAACAAAGTGAAGTTAGTTTAATAAATAAATCGGTTGTATCTAACTTCATCCAAGGATTAAGTTGCAATTAAAACCGATAGATGGCGATTTTTTTTTAAGAAATTTTTTTTATTTAAAATAATCTTTATTTTAACCATCACTTAATTAATTAATCCTAATTTAATTCAAAAATTAATTTAAACCTTATTAAATAATCTTTGTAGCACAAAAATTGTCATTTAACCTCACTTTTATTATTATTTTTTTTTTATTTTGGAACTTAATAATAATTAAAACCTCAACCAATAAATTCGCACATCGGAGAAAAATGAATAGATAAGAAATAAATTTCATTAATAACATTTAGAATTTTTAATCTTACCCTTTTTTTGAGGTTATATTATCCGAATTAAAATTTAATACATTTAATCACTTGGTACACATCAATGAATCATTTGTACCATAATTTAGCATCTTCTTAAACCACATAGAAAGGATTTAATGATTTTTAACGAAAAAATTAGGATTTAATCCCAAAATTTTTGACGTTTTAAAACTGTCAATTGTGTTTATAACCAAACAAAAAAACAAAGTGAAGTTAGATTAATAAATAAATCGGTTGTATCTAACTTCATCCAAGGATTAAGTTGCAATTAAAACCGATAGATGGCGATTTTTTTTTAAGAAAATTTTTTTTAAATAAAAAATCTTTATTTTAAGCATCACTTAATTAATTAATCCTAATTTAATTCAAAAATTAATTTAAACCTTATTAAATAATCTTTGTAGCACAAAAATTGACATTTAACCTAACTTTTATTATTATTAATTATTTTTTTTTATTTTGGAACTTAATAATAATTAAAACCTCAACCAATAAATTCGCACATCGGAGAAAAATGAATAGATAAGAAATATGATTTCATTAATAACATTTAGAATTTTTAATCTTACCCTTTTTTGAGGTTATGTTATCCGAATTAAAATTTAATACATTTAATCACTTTGTACACCTCAATTAATCAGTTGTACTCAAATTTAGCATCTTCTTAAGCCACATAGAAAGGATTTAATGATTTTTAACGAAAAAATTAGGATTTAATTCCAAAATTTTTGACGTTTTAAAACTGTCAATTGTGTTGATAACCAAACAAAAAAAAACAAAGTGAAGTTAGCTTAATAAATAAATCGGTTGTATCTAACTTCATCGAAGGATTAAGTTGCAATTAAAACCGATAGATGGCGATTTTTTTTTAAGGAATTTTTTTTAAATAAAAAATCTTTATTTTAATCATCACTTAATTAATTAATCCCAATTTAATTCAAAAATTAATTTAAACCTTATTAAATAATCTTTGTAGCACAAAAATTGACATTTAACCTCACTTTTATTATTATTAATTATTTATTTCCTATTTTAGAACTTAATAATAATTAAAACCTCAACCAATAAATTCGCACATCGGAGAAAAATGAATAGATAAGAAATATGATTTCATTAATAATATTTAGAATTTTTAATCTTACCCTTTTTTGAGGTTATGTTATCCGAATTAAAATTTAATCACTTTGTACACATCAATGAATCATTTGTACCCCAATTTAGCATCTTCTTAAGCCACATAGAAAGGATTTAATGATTTTTAACGAAAAAATTAGGATTTAATCCCAAAATGTTTGACGTTTTAAAACTGTCAATTGTGTTCATAACCAAACAAAGAAACAAAGTGAAGTTAGCTTAATAAATAAATCGGTTATATCTAACTTCATCCAAGGATTAAGTTGCAATTAAAACCGATAGATGGCGATTTTCTTTTTAAGGAAATTTTTTTTAATAAAAATTCATTAAAAATCGTTATTTTAACCATCACTCAATTAATTAATCCTAATTTAATTAAAAAATTAATTTAAATCTTCTCATTAAATAATCTTTGTAACACAAAATTTGACATTTAACCTCACCAAATATTTTTAACCTCACTTTTATTATTATTAATTATTTTTTTTCACTTTTAATTTCTGATTTTGAAACGTAATAATAATTAAAACCTCAACCAATAAATTCGCACATTGGATAAAAATAAATAGATAAGAAACATTAAAGGAGAATATAAAAATGTTTTAATGTTCCCAATCCTCCTTAATGATATCAGCAGCTTTCTCCCCAATCATAACAACAGGGGCCATTGTATGTGGCGTTATAGCATTAGGAATAACACTTGCATCTACAACCCTCAAATTTTCGACCCCATAAACCCTCAGTCTCTCATCAACAACCCCCCCATCATCTTTTGTGCTCATTTTACAAGTTCCCATTCCATGATAAACCCCGACATGCAACCTCCTAATAGCGCATCTCCAATAATCATCGTTCAACGATCTAAATCGATCACACCCCTCAACCATCCTTTCATTTAGGGTCGCGTTAAGTCGGCGAAATTCGGTTGTGTTAGCAATTTCTAAAACTTTTTTAATACCATCGAGTATCGTTTCAACATCATCGGGATGTTCAAGATATTTAGGATCAATTAAAGGTGAGTCGTGGGGATTTTCCGACTTAATCTTAACCGTTCCAACGCTTTTAGGGCGTGATAAAATGACTAAAACGGTGAAGGATTCGTTAAATTCAGTGTTTTGCCAAAATGAATCATAAGTTGTTTTATTAAAATTAGTGAGTTGGTGGATTATCCGATAATTTTGGTTGAAATTAATCGGTGATACAGCAATTTCCAAGTCGGGATGATTTCTATTCGTGTTTAAACGTGAATTTAAAAATCCTAAAACGTCGATTCCGCAACTAGTTAATTCTCCTTCGCCGTAAAACAACCAATTTAAAATGTTATCTTTTGAAGTTATATCATTAAATTTTTGACAATTAAATACAAAGTGTAAGCCTAAAAACGCTACGTGGTCTTTAAAATTTTTCCCAACGGGGAGATTAATTTTCGTTTTTATCCCTAATTTATTTAATTCGTCTTCGGGTCCTATCCCACTTAATTGAAGTATTTTAACCGTGTTAAAAACGCCCGATGATAAAATAACTTCCTTTCGAGCTTTCGCAATTAAATATTTATCATTTCTTCGATAAACAACGCCGACTACTTTTTTATCATCTTTGAATAAAATTTTTTCGACGTAACTTGAAGTTTTTATGATCAAATTATCTCGTTCTAATCCTTCTAAATACGCTGAAGAAACGCTGCGTCTTTTCCCGTGGAAAGTGGTTACTTGGGGATCGTTAAAACCGATTTGATTCATTCCGTTGTAATCTAAAATGGAATAATTTAATTGTTTTAAAGCTTTTAGGAAGGGTTTTCGGATTTTTGAGGGGTTCTTTTGGAGCTCGGTGTTGATTGGGCCGTCTTTTCCGTGGTAATCTTCGTCGTAATCGTATAAATTAACGTGTTCGGCTTTTTTGAAGTAAGGTAAGACTTTGGTGTAACTCCAATTGGAGTTATTTCCGGTTTTGCTCCATTCATTGTAATCATTTTGGTTACCAATGGTGTAAATGTTATCGTTTATCGCTGATGAGCCTCCCATTGATTTACCAGAGATTTGGTTACAAGTGTTATTAATCATGCCTAAGAATTAACAACAAATTAACTTATTTTAAAACGAAGAAAATTTATTACCAAGACACCCCGTTTTTTGCGGGATTGTTTTGTAATGCCAATTATATTGGGTGGTTTGTAGGATTGGGGCGATAACGGGGATTTTACCAATTGGGTTTTCGGGGATTCCTGCTTCTAAAAGGAGGATTTTCCACCCCCAAATTTTGGAGAGTCGGTTGGCTAAAACGCAACCTGCAGTTCCAGCTCCAACGATAATAAAATCATATATTTCAACATCTACAAGAAACATAAATTACATTTAATGATTCAACATAAACTTTAACTCACCTTTATCATATATTGGATCGGAAATAATCGGCCCTTTTAAATAATTCGAAAAAACGGTGAGATATTCTCCAAATTTCGCAACAGATTCTTTGTAATATTCATCATAAGAACCATGTACACTCAAATTTAGCGATGACACCAAGACTATTAAGAATATTTTTGAAGTATTCATGGCGCTAAAGCTCAAATTTAATAGAAACTTAGGTTTTTAGATAAATTTTAAAAACTTACCTTGAATAATTATTTACAACGAATCAACATAATTATTCGTTAAACAACTTGAGTGATTCTTGTAGGACAAGCAAAGTCAATTTGCTCGAACGATTTTTTTTTCTTGCATATTTTACGTCGTGTAATAACTTCTTGCGAAAGATTCATTTTACTTTGGCTGAAAAGATTAAAAGAAACATTATGACCATATTATAAACGCTTTCAGAAATCTTTTTTATGATAATACATGTTAAATTAATGAGATGAAGTATTTCTTTATTATTTTATTAGTCATACTGAATAAAGAACACTTTTTTAATGAGATTGTGTTTTATTATTGTTAATAAATACCTGTTGTTGTTGTTGCTGTTGTCCTTGGAATGGGAAATATCACAACATCTTCATCTCCGCCTCATAAATCAATCTCCCCAGACCATACCTTTGGCTTGATAGATAAAGATAATGAAAAAATGACGGAGGTTTTTGTTGTTTTTAAAATAATAATAATCGAAATTATTTTTAAATAAATAAGAATCAAAATCATTTTGAGGTTATGTTTCCCGAAAATTTAAACCCAAACCGTAAACAAAGTGAAGTTAGTTAAAATCATTCAAGTTGCAATTAAAACCCCTAGATGGCGCTGTTTCATTTATTTTTCTTTTTTTAATAATAAATTTAATTTATTTATTTTTAATATTTCAAATTCATTAAAAAAAAATTCTTTAACCAACATTAATTTCATAAATAAATTCATTTAAGTATTTCTTATTAAATAAAATCGTTATTCCTCAAACACAAAAATTGACACTTAAATGTCAACAAACATTTTTAACCTCACTTTTTACTTAATACTAAATTTCGCAACAGATTCATCATAAGAACCATGTACGCTCAAATTTAGCGATGACACCAAGACAATTAAGAATATCTTTGAAGTATTCATGGCGCTAAAGCTCAAATTTAATTGCAACTTAGATTTTTATGTATGTCAATCCTTATGTACTGCTTACAACGAATCAACATAATTAATTATTAAACAACTTGAGTGACTCTTGTAGGACAAGCAAAGTCAAATTGCTCGAACGATTTTTTTTTTGCATATTTTACGTCGAGTAATAACTTCTTGCGAAAGATTCATTTTACGCGAATCTTTTAGACGAAAAAGAAACATTATGACCATATTATAAATTAAATTAATGTATTTCTTTATTAGTCATTTTATCATTGTTAATAAATACCTGTTGTTGTTATCTTTGGAATGAGAAGTATCTCAACGCCTTCATCTCTCCAGACCATATCAGAGGTTAATTTTCTTGAAATCGGTTTTATATATTTTTTTTCTTTTCTTGATAGATAATAATGATGAAAAGATGACGGATGTTTTTGTTATTATAGAAATAATCGGAAGTTGTTTTCAAAATAATAATAATCGAAATTATTTTTAAATAAAATAGAATCAAAATCATTTTAAGGTTATGTTTCCCGAAAATTTAAACTGTCATTTAAAGTAGATTCAATGAAGTTGCAATTAAAACCCCTAGATGGCGGTATTTCATTTTTTTTAATAATAAATTTAAATTTATGTTTAAAATTTAAAAATTAGAATGTCAATTTTGTCTTTAAGCTATCATTTAGATGTCACTTTTGACATTAAAATCTTTTTGTGATGAAAAATAATCAAATTTGACAGTTAGAATGTCAAACTAAAAAAATTGTAAATTTAATCTTTAAGATATCATTTAAATGTCATTTTTGACATTAAAATCTTTTTGTGATGCAAAATAATCAAATTTGACAGTTAGAATGTCAACTGATAGCAGAAAATAAGGTAAATATGTAATTTAAAATGTTAATTTTGTCTTTAAGCTATCATTTAGATGTCACTTTTGATATTAAAATCTTCGTGTGATGCAAAATAATCAAATTTGACAGTTAGAATGTCAATTGGTAGCAGAAAATGAGGTAAATATGTCATTAAAAATGTTAATTTTGTCTTTAAGCTACCATTTAAATTTCACTTTTGATATTAAAATCTTCGTGTGATGCAAAATAATCAAATTTGACAGTTAGAATGTCAATTGGTAGCAGAAAATAAGGTAAATATGTCATTTAAAATGTTAATTTTATCTTTAAGCTACCATTTAAATGTCACTTTTGATATTAAAATCTTCGTGTGATGCAAAATAATCAAATTTGACAGTTAGAATGTCAATTGGGAGAAAAAATTGAGGTTGACATATCATTTGGAATGACAAACTGTAAGAAAATTGTTAATTTAATTTTTAAGATGTCATTTTTGCCATTAAAATCTTTTTGTGATGAAAAATGATCAAATTTGACAGTTAGAACGTCAATTGGTAGCAAAAATTGAGGTTAATATATCATTTGGAATGTCAAACTAAGAAAATTGCAAATTTAATCTTTAAGATGTCATTTAAATGTCATTCTTGACATTAAAATTGAGGTTGACAAATCATTTGAAATGTCAAACTGTAAGAAAATTGTTAATTTAATCTTTAAGATGTCATTTAAATGTCATTTTTGACATTAAAATCTTTTTGCGATGCAAAATAATCAAATTTGACAGTTAGAATGTCAAGTGATAGCAAAAAATAAGGTAAATATGTCATTTAAAATGTTAATTTTGTCTTTAAGCTATCATTTAGATGTCACTTTTGATATTAAAATCTTCGTGTGATGTAAAATAATCAAATTTGACAGTTAGAACGTCAATCAGTAACAAAAATTGAAGTTGACATATCATTTGGAATGTTAAACTATACGAAAATTGTAAATTTAATCTTTAAGATGTCATTTAAATGTCATTTTTGACATGAAAATCTCTGTGATGAAAAATGATCAAATTTGACAGTTAGAACGTCAGTTGGGAGAAACAATTGAGGTTGACATATCATTTGGAATGTCAAACTATAAGAAAATTGTAAATTTAATCTTTAAGATGTCATTTAAATGTCATTTTTAACATTTAAAATCTTTTTGTGATGAAAAATTATCAAATTCGACAGTTATAATGTCAATTGGTAGGAGAAAATAAAGTAAATATGTCATTTAGAATGTCAAATCGTCAATTTCGTCTTTAAGCTATCATTTAGATGTCACTTTTGATATTAAAGTCTTCATGTGATGTAAAATAATCAAATTTGACAGTTAGAACGTCAATCAGTAACAAAAATTGAGGTTGACATATCATTTGGAATGTTAAACTATAACAAAATTGTAAATTTAATCTTTAAGATGTCATTTAAATGTCATTTTTGACATTAAAATCTTTTTGTGATGAAAAATAATCAAATTTGACAGTTAGAACGTCAATCAGTAACAAAAATTGAGGTTGACATATCATTTGGAATGTTAAACTATAAGAAAATTGTAAATTTAATCTTTAAGATGTCATTTAAATGTCATTTTTGACATTAAAATCTTTTTGTGATGAAAAATGATCAAATTTGACAGTTAGAACGTCAGTTGGGAGAAACAATTGAGGTTGACATATCATTTGGAATGTCAAACTGTAAGAAAATTGTTTATTTAATTTTTAAGATGTCATTTAAATGTCATTTTTGACATTAAAATCTTTTTGTGATGCAAAATAATCAAATTTGACAGTTAGAATGTCAATTGGTAGCAAAAATTGAGGTTGACATAACATTTAGAACATCAAACTGTTAGAAAGTTATAAATTTAACTTTTAAGATGTCATTCAAATGTCACTTTTGACATTAAAATCAACATTTAAAACTACAATTAAGTATATAGTCTTCTGAGAGCACTAAATAGTCTTTGACAACAATATCTAGCTTTCTCCAAACAATTAGTAGTCTTTCCAACAATATTTAGCATTCTAAAAGTAGCACATTTCTTCTTTCCAAGCAGTTATTAGTCTTTTTCAGCAGTAGCAAACAATTATTAAAGTCTTGGGAAGCAATATTCCGCCTATTCAAGTAGGTTAACAGCAGTGTTTAGCATTCTGGAAGTAATAGGTATTATTTTAAAAACAGTATCTAATCTTTTCCAAGTAAGTAGGTAACTTTCTGAAATAGTATTTCCTCTTTCCAAGCAGTTTTTAGTCTTTTACTAGCAGTATTTAACCTTCTGATAGCAATAATTAGTTTTTAGACAACAGTATTTAGCATTCAAAAACCAATAAGTTAAAGATTTTAGGTTATTTTTAGTTTAATTAGTAAACAACGACATTTTAATCGTTGTGAGTCGAAAACATAAGAAACAATTTGATTTCTATTTTTCACTGTCAAAACACGAGAGAAGTTGGCTACAGACGGAATTAGCGCCATCTATTTTTGAATTACTTAAACATGACTTTAGAAATGTTTTAGGTTAATTTTTTATAACTTTAAATTATTAATAATTTAAAAATTGTTTATGTAATATAATAATTCTTTAATATTTAATGTTAAAATAACTTAGTTTATAACCTCCAAAAACTTATTTAGGTTAATATTTAATTAATTAATTAAAACATTTCATTTTTATAACCTTGAGCTATCCCTTTTCGTCCTTCCTTTGCTATTTTAACTTCCGTTTCCCCCAATTTTTGTTCTAACCCTTTAAAACTCCTCCCCGACAAGAATTCACCCCCAGAATTATTTGCTAACATCATAGTCCCTTTATCTTTAACCACAACTTCTTTATCACCGCCAATTTCTACCTCTTCCTCATTTTGTCGCCACCGAACATCCCCTGAGATTAAACTAACATCTGGGTTATTAATATCAGTGGTTTTGAAGTCATCATCCAAAAAATCGGAATTTATTTCGTAAGAAAATCGTTTTTCCGTCGAATTTAAAGCCAATTCGACGTCGTAAAGTGTTACGATAGGTTTGTAGAAATCGCGACTTTCAAAAATGTTACTCGACGGGCAACACACAAGTACGTAAACATCCATTTCAGGGAAATTCGCTAATTTTGCAACCGTTGGTTTACCTACGTTGATGACGTAACACTTTTTTTTGTGGAGTTTTAATAATTTTTTAACGCGATCGATGGCTTTTAAGAAATTTTTTATCACCAAAGTGGCGATTACGATCCCGATTCGTTTAGAATCTTTAATTTTTTCCACTAAAAAGTACCTCCTCTTCAATAACATTCGATTTAACTCGTACTTTTTGATTTTATCTTCCGGTCGTTTTGGATTAAAATAATATAAAGGCTCAATTCGCTCTTTTAATTGAAAATTTAATAAATTCCGGTTATCCTCCCCAATATAAACATTAATTATTTCGGATTTCCCATTTTTAAATTGATCAATTTCATCTTTTAAATGCAAATATGGCGAATCTATTTTAAAATTAATTTTTGAATTAGGAAATGCGTCTTGGATTAATTCCGCGAGTTCTTTTGGGTTTAAATCGTCTTTTTCGTAAATGCATAAACATGGAATTGTTTCTGTCCATTCGCTTGAGCATCTTGGCCCAAAATGAATGATTGCATCTGCATTTATGTGCTGTGCTGTGATGTAATCGACACAACAACTAAAAAAAAGGATTTATGGAGGTATTTTGTTAATTTAGTTTTAATTTACCTTTCATAGGATGAATCGGCCATTATATAAACATCATTTTGCAAATTTTTGTTAAGATATTGCGCGATTTCGTACGAATCTTCCAGCATGTAATCGGGAAATTGTAAACAAACCGTTTTAAACGAATTCTTTGCGATAAAATCAACAACGGTGGTTAATTCGTAATACTCGGGGATTGATTTGTTGTTTTTGCTCCAATTATTTTTGATTTCTGTAGTTTTTTGGAGAGTTATTTGCGCGTTACTTGAAAATTGCTCCATTTTTATTTTATTGTTGACATAAAGTCAACGTCAAAACACGCGAGAAGTTGGTTACACACGAATTAGCGCCATCTAGCATTAAATTACTTAAAACCACGTCTCAATAAACCGAATTGATTTTAATATAAATTAATATTAAAATTGTTACGTTACCTTGACGATGAGATGAAATTGTTGAATCTTCTCCTCCAACGATCGAATTTAGAACCATAACGAAGAATTTGATAAGTTTAGTCACAAATCAAAACGTCAAGTTATATCGTGTGGCGCCATCTGTTTTTGATCTTATAACCTAAAAAAAATGTAATTAAATTATTTAAATTTCGTAAATTTTTTGTATTTAACATTAAATTCGTAATCTACGTGAAAATCCCTTTAATTTGATACCAAACTCGCTATATTTATAAGATTATACAAAAATTAGAAAAAAAAACTGTTGATTCTAACCTAACTTTTTTGATTTTTAAAATAAATATGTCGTGATTAGTATCAAATTAAAGCAAATTCAATTTTGTGAACGATTTTAATTTTATTGTGAAAATATTGATTTTAAATAATTATTTTTTTTACGAGAAAATATTTAATTTTATAAAATCACTCAAATCGTGATCTACATCGAAAACCCTTTAATTTGACACCAAACTCGCCATATTTGCTAAAATATAATATATATGACGAAAAAACAAAATGGCGGTCATTGGTGATCCTTAACCTAACTTTTTTAATTATTAATGTAAACATATCGTGCTTGGTATCAAATTAAAGCAAATTCTATTGTATAAACAATTCTAATCGCGAAAATATCGATTTTAATCAATTATTATTTTCTTGGGAAATTATTTAATTCTATATAATCGTTCAAAAAGTTAATTTGAGTGCAAAATCGTGATCTGCATTGAAGATCCTTTCATTTGATACCAAACTCGCCATATTTACAAAGACATAAAAAATGCAAGAAAAAAAACAAAATGGCGGCCACTTTGTTGATTTTTAACCTAACTTTTTTTAATTTTTAAGATAAATATGCCGTGTTTGGTATTAAATTAAAGTAAATTTGATTCTGAAAACGATTCTGATCGCGAAACCATCGATTTTAATCCATTATTTTTTTTTGTGAAATTATTTAATTCCACAAAATCGCTCAAGAAGTCAAATTTGAATGAGAAATCGTGATCTACATCGAAAACCCTTTAGTTTGATACCAAACTCGCCATATTTACAAAGACATAAAACATGAAAGAAAAAAAACAAAATGGCGGCCACTTTGTTGATTTTTAACCTAACTTTTTTAATTTTTAAGGTAAGTATATCGTGTTTGGTATCAAATTAAAGCAAATTCAATTCTATAAACGATTCTGATCGCGAAAACATCAATTTTAATCAATTATTAAATTTTCTAAAATTATTTAATTCCATAAAATTGTTCAAAAAGTTAATTTGAATGTGAAATCGCGATCTGCATTGAAAATCCTTTAATTTGATACCAAACTCGGCATATTTACAAAGACATAAAACATGAAAGAAAAAAAAACAAAATGGCGGTGTCCTTGTTGATTCTTAACCTAACTTTTTTAATTTTTAAGGTAAATATATCGTGTTTGGTATCAAATTAAAGCAAATTCAATTTTATAAACGATTCTCATCGCGAAAATATCGATTTTAATCAATTATTACATTTTTTGAAATTATTTAATTCTATAAAATTGTTCAAAAAGTCTAATTTGAGTGAAAATCGTCATCTACATTGAAAACCCTTTAATTTGATACCAAACTCGCCATATTTGCAAAGACATAAAAAAGTAAAGAAAAAAAACAAAATGGCGGTGTCTTTGTTGATTCTTAACCTAACTTTTTTTAATTTTTAAGATAAATATGCCGTGTTTGGTATCAAATTAAAGCAAATTCAATTCTATAAACGATTCTGATCGCGAAAACATCGATTTTAATCAATTATTACATTTTTTGAAATTATTTAATTCCGTAAAATTGTTCAAAAAGTCTAATTTGAGTGAAAAATCGTCATCTACATTGAAAACCTTTAATTTGATACCAAACTCGCCATATTTATGAATACAAAATAAAATTAACTAATAAAGAATAAATAAAGATTATTTAAACTATTTAAGTATAACCAGCTCAACCGTAACATTAAATCGTTTCCTACACACGAGAAGTTCGTTAGACACGAATTAGCGCCATCTACTTTTAAATTATTTAAAACCACGTCTCAATAAACCGAATTATTTATATAATTTAATATTAAAATTGTTACGTTACCTTGACGATGAGATGAAATTGTTGAATTTAAACCCATATTCGATCAAAACTTTCCAATTTAGAACCATAACGAAGAATTTAATAAATTTAGTCACAAATCAAAACGTCAAGTTGTCGTGTGGCGCCATCTCTTTTTGAACTTATAACCTAAAAAAAATTATTAAATTATTTAAATTTCGCCGAAAAGAAATTGTTTATTGCATAATCGGTTACGAAATCAATTAAAAATCGCGATTTCGTCATTTTTAAAGAGATAAATAAAGATTTCTAAAAAAAGTTATGTAAAAATCGATTAACTTAACCTCAATCGTCTTTTTGACATTTAATAAAAATTATTTAAATTTTTTTCGTATTATTTAAACTATTTATGTATAACCAACTCAACCGTAACATTAAATCGTTTCCTATTCTATTATTGTCTCGTTACACGGTATGCTTTTCCCGTGAAATGATACGTTTCTGATTTTAGATCGAAACACATCAAATTTCAACACTGAAGAAGTTATTTTGTATTTAAACAATTGATTACGTATTATTGTTGTTACTGACGTTGTATGCTACAGTACTTGGTTTCGATATTAAGTATGTCGTTAGTCGCCGACGAATACGGTTTGTTTTAATAAAGTGAAAGTAATTGTTTGGAAATAATTTATTTAATTTTAAGTTTAAGTGGGTTGTATTGAAAAAAAATGGTCGAATCGTTTTATGGGGGTAAAAGACGGCGAAAATTGTGGGGTAAGTTACCAAAAAAAATCGCAAAAAAAAGGATTTTTTTTTATAAATATCAATAAAATTTCCCCAAATTTTTTTATAAATCATATTTTAAATTAAAAAAAACTTTTTCGCAACATATTTTCCAACATTACTTTAAACAATCTACAATGAATCGTAAAAACACCACATTCACATTAAAAATATACAATAAACGCTTAATCAACGCCGATTACCTTTAATTGATCGTAATTATTACAAAGTTCATTCGTTCGAAGGAAATAATTAATTAATTTCGATTAAAATAAATCAAAATTCGTAATCTTCGTTAAAAATCCTTTAAAACGACTCCAAACTCGGCTAATTTATCTCAAAAATTGACCGAGATGCGATGATTTAAAAAAAAATTTGACAGGCGATTGTCAATTTTTTTTATTTTTTGGTTGTCATATCTCGCTTGTTTTTTGAGATAAATTAGCCGAGTTTGGGCTCGTTTTAAACGATTTTTCTTCCTTTATAAGAAAATGAAATAAAATTTAAGTTTTAACCTAAAAAAAAGTTTTATTTGAGAATTCACAAGTGTTAATAACCTTGAGGTGGTTTATTTTTTATTCTTATTCTCATTTTTTATCTTAGTTTTTTTCTTTTACCGAGTGGAACTTGAGTTAAGCGGTTTGCTGATTGAACAGGTTCTTGGACGTTTCGAGGCGAGGTAAAACAGAAATGAATGTGGTGACTGAATTAAGTAAATGTAACGTGATAAAAACTTTGAGAGAGTGAGAGAGAGATCAAGGAAACGTTCCAAGGTTTTCAGATTTTTGATAAAATTGTTTTAATTGCTTAATAACTCAAATAATTCATTTTATAAATTAAAAATTTTCCAATTTGATAATATATATAGGCGTTTTATGGGCAATAAAACATTATTTTTCACTTCCACGTGCGAATGTCGCGTTTCTCATCAAACCGAATCAAGTCTGTTATTTTTTTTTTTGAAATTTAAGGTCAACCGGTAGAAATAATAACCCCGGACGAGTTCGTAAATTGCAGAAAAGTCCTTAAAGGTCGAAAAATACATTTAAATTTACATAACATCATATAAACCATAAATTATATTTTAGATGGCAAATTAAAAAAATCGTTTTTGTAACAATCATTATAAATCACATTTTAAGTGTTGAAATAAAATCTTTTAATCAAAAGTGTTGTGAGAAATTGATCTACTCACCACTAGATGGCGAATCAATAAAACACAAAATTTTTGATTCTTGTCTTGCATATCTTTGTACTAACAAGATTTTCTATAAAAATTGAAAAAATCTTTCTTGAAGGAGTGTTTGGTCCAGCTGATAGCCCAATTTGTCACCTGACGTAAGTCTTTTCCAAAAAAATACCAAATATTACTGCGTATGTGGTGCACAGTTGATATTAAAAGTGCATAACCAACTATAAAACCTTCATCTTTCTCCTCCTGTGAACAGTATCTTGCCATCCGCAACTATTAAAGTGATTTGTAACAGTGTGTAGTCTTCTGACAGTAGCATCTAACTTTCTGCAAGCAGTATCAAGTCTTCTGCAACATATATAGTCATCTACAAACAGTATTTCGTATTCTGCCAACAATATCTAGTCTTCTGCCAACAATATTTAGTCTCTCGCTCGCAGTATCTACCCTCCTGCAAGAATTATCACGTCTTTTGCATTCAATATAGTGATCTACAAGCAGTATCAAGTCTTCTGCAACTACTAAAATATAGCTTTTTGTTAGCAGAATCTAGTCATTGGACCATTATTTAGTTATCTCTAAGCAGTACAAGTGCATAAGCAACTATAAAGTCTTAGGTTGTAACCTAATTTTTGAATTTTAATGGAGTATCCTTTTTGTCTATATAGCCTATATAGCTCCAGGATGTTGGTTTTCGGAGGCTTTCGGAGAATCCTACATCAGAAAAGTCCAGCTTGATCAGCAATGTGTAGTCATCTGCTTCACTCTGCTTAGTGATAATATAGCGCAACCTCAGTTGCATAATATCATGATTACAATCTCTTCATGCCACCTTAGTTGCTTAGAGCAACAATCTGAGTAGTGTTAGAAGTTTATGGCACTTCTTTTATTGATTTAATATTAATGTTAGAATGCAAAGGTACAACAAAGATGTCAATAGCTGACACTGTCACTGAAAAAGATTCGTTATATATTGAAATAAGCGATAATGAAATGAATTCGAGGGTTATTTCTTAGTTGAAATCACTACAAGTAGATTTGTTCTGGTGAAATATAAATAATTATTAACAGTATTCAGATACTGTCACAGTATCTAGGTTTGTGTTAGCAGAATCTAGTCATTTGACAGCATTATCTAGTCATCTTTTAGTAGTATACAGTTTTCTGTCATCAATAGGGCCATCTGCAATCAGTATTTATTCTTCTGCCAGCAGTATTTAGTCTCCCACTACTAGTATCTAAATTCCTTCAAGCAGTATAGGGTCTTCTGCAACTAATATANACAGCATTATCTAGTCATCTTTTAGTAGTATACAGTTTTCTGTCATCAATAGGGCCATCTGCAATCAGTATTTATTCTTCTGCCAGCAGTATTTAGTCTCCCACTACTAGTATCTAAATTCCTTCAAGCAGTATAGGGTCTTCTGCAACTAATATAATGATCTGCAAGCAGTATCTATTCTTCTGCCAACAGTATTTGAAGGGCTCGGTGCAAAAAGCGGTCATCTCCATTTTTTCAAACTTTACAGTGTCACTGAAAAACTGTTTTCTAAGTTATAACATCAAATTAATGCCAGCTCCATTTCTAATGCAACTTCCAGTTTACAACGGTGGAGATAGCCGTTTCTTTACACCAAACGATGCGCACTGCTGAGTAGGGCCAAGTTCAGGCAAAAAAGCAATTTCATCAAAAAGTGGAGCTCACCGGTTTTTGCACCGAGCCCTTCATTTAGTCTTCCGCTACAAGTATCTAACTTCCTGCAAGCAGTATCGGGTCTTCTGCAACTAATATAGTGATCTGAAAGCAGTATCTATTCTTTTTCCAACAATATTCAGTCTTCTCCTAGTAGTATCTAACCTTCTGCAAGCAATATCGTGTCTTCTACAACCAATATAATCATCTGCAAGCAGTTTCTAGTCTTTTGCCAACAGTATCTAGCTTTCTGTTAGCAAAATATAGTCATTTTACAACATTATCTACTTATCTCTTAGTAGTATACAGTTTTCTGTCATCAATAGGGCTATCTGCAAGCAGTATTTATTTTTCTGCCAGCAGTATTTAGTCACCTGCTACTAGTATCTCACCTCCTGCAAGCAATATCGTGTCTTCTACAACGAATATAATCATCTGCAAGCAGTTTCTAGTCTTCTGCCAACAGTATCCAGCTTTCTGTTAGCAAAATCTAGTCATTTTACAGCATTATCTACTCATCTCTCAGTACTATACAGTTTTCTGCCGTCAATAGGGCCATCTGGAAGCAGTATTTAGTCTCCGGCTACTATATTCTGTTCATCGAACGGATTCAGTGAACCTGAGCGAAGCCACGCCTATTTCCCTCACTATTACACAATAACCACTTTCACACACAAAAAAAATACATAGAAACAAAGAAAGAAAATAAACGTAAACGACAAGGAAAAGAGTAAGAAAGAGAGCTGTTCTTGGTTGCGCTTTGTAAACCAGGCTTACCAATAGAAAAATTTTATTCAAATTTTGCATCTGTTCGATGAACGAACTATAGTGTCTAACCTAATGCAAGCAATATCGTGTCTTCTACAACCAATATAATCATCTGCAAGCAGTTTCTAGTCATCNTTTCGTTTACGAATACGATTACAAACTCAAAATACGATTTGAAAAGAGAAAGTGTTTGTGTTGCATTCCAATCTAACCTAGATAAAGAAAAAACGTTATCTTTTAAGCTCAAAAATTAACGAAGAAAAGAAAAGATTCGCGATGAGAGTTAAAGTGATGTCATCATCATCACCTTGAAAATAACAAAAAAATTAATTAACAAAGTCGACGATAATAATAAAGACGAAATTGATTGGGAAAATTTCGAAAAATTAATATGTAATAATGACTTAATAATTAATAAAATGATTAATGCGGTTGACATTTATTGATAAAAATGAGCTAATTATTAGTTAATGTTAGTTTCGAAATTAACTCATTAGAGTTGAAACTTTCTAGAGTAATCTGAACGATTAAAAGAGTTTCTATAACGACTGCGTTGGGAAAAAAGTGCTAAAACGAATTTACTTTAAATTATTTTAACTAAATCGAACTAAATCTTTTGAAAATATACAATAATCGAGCGATGAATAATAATTAACACTTACACTATGTTTAGAACTAGCATTTAAGAAAAAATGACATTTACGGCTGTCATTAAATTATTTACAAAATCACTAAAATCGTACATCAATTTGATGTTAAAAACATTTCTACTGACGTCAAAATTAATATTAAAACTCAATTGACGCTTTTTTAATGCTAATTTTAGTTATTTTTGTCGTTAACCGTGCGTCTGAAGATAAAAAATCTTGATAATCATTTTTAACCTCAACCCAAGATTAATTAACACAAAGATTACTTCAAAAAAGAATTTTGAGACAATAAAAACTAACTACTTACCAAGGAGTGAGTAAAAAGGAATCGATTCTTGATGAATAAGCACAATATAACACTTAATTATTATAAAAATGATAAGAAATTAATTAAAATGTGAAGAGAAACGGATTCTGTCAAAAAGATTGAAATGAAAGGAAGGGGTGCCAACCCTAATTTTATCTCAAATAAAAAGTAACTAATTTTTTAAGAAATAATAATAAAATTGATTTAAAATTAAAATTGTTATTAAGTTAAAAAATTGAAGTAATCCCTACAATAATAAACCTAAAAATCTTGATAAACATTTTTAAACTCAACCCAAGATTTAATTAATCTTGGGTTGAGGTTAATTAAACAAAGATTACACTAAAAAAAAATTTGAGTTAATAAAAACTAACTACTCACCGAGGAATAACCAAAAAGGAATCGATTCTTGATGAATTAGCACAATTAAACACTTAATTGTTATAAAAATGATAAGAAATTCATTAAAATGTGAAGAGAAACGGATTCTGTCAAAAAGATTAAAATGAAAGGAAGGGGTGCCAACCCTAATTTTATCTAAAATGAAAAGTAACTAATTTTCTAAGAAATATTAATAATAAAATTATTGATTTAAAATGAAAATTGTTATTAAGTTAAAAAATTGGAGAAATCTCTACAATAATAAACCCGAAAATCTTGATAATCATTTTTAACCTCAACCCAAGATTAATTAAAACAAAGATTACTTTAAAGAAGAATTTTGAGTGGATAAAAACTAACTACTTACGAAGGAGTGTCTAAGAAAGAATCGATTCTTGATGAATAAACATAATTAAACACTTAATTATTATAAAAATGATAAGAAATTAATTAAAATGTGAAAAGAAACGGATTCTGTCAAAAAATCGGAATGAAAGGAAGGGGTGCCAACCCTAATTTTTATCTAAATTAAAAAGTAACTAATTTTCTAAGAAATAATAAAAAATTATTGTAAGATATCATCTATGTTGCATATTTTGCACTTATTAAACAAAATATAAACTTTCCAACGAAAGGAACCAATTTTGAAAATATCTTTTAGTTTGTAACATATTAATTTTTAAACATAACTGATTTTTCGAGTAACTACTTGCATTCATTTTCAAAAAAACATAAAAAATCAGGATTTTCATCCATGATTATACCAATTACATTAATTATGCAAATTATAGGCTTTCCAATAAAAAAGGCCGATTTTCAATATACCTTTTAATTATTGAGATATTACTTCTGAAACAAAACTCCTTTTTCGGGTTAAGCAACCATTTTCACTCATTTTCAAAAAATCATAATAAATCAGAATCTCAATTCATGATTATGAAATTATCTGCACTAATTATACAAGTGATAGGCTTTCCAATGAATGAGACCGATTTTGAAAATATCTTTTAGTTTTTGAGATATCCATTTTCAAACATAACTCATTTTTGAGATTAAATAACAATTTTCGTTCATTTTCATAAAATCATAACAAATTGGAATTTCAACGAATTGTTACGAAATTATCTGCACATATTAAACAAAATATAAGCTTTCCAATAAAAAAATACATTTTCAAAATATCTTTTAGGTTTTATTATATTAATTTTTAAACATAACTGATTTTTCGATTTAAGTAACTATTTTCACTCATTTTCAAAAAATCTTAAAAAATCAGGAATTCAATCGGTAATTATGAAATTATTTACACTAATTATACCAATTATAGGCTTTTCAATGAAAGAGACCGATTTTGAAAATATCTTTTAGTTTTTGAGATATTCATTGCTAAACATAACTCATTTTTGAGATTAAGCAACAATTTTTGTTCATTTTCTAAAAATCGTAACAAATCAGAATTTCAATGAATTGCTATGAAATTATCTGCACTTATTAAACAAAATATAAGCTTTCCAACGAAAGAACCAACCTAATGCCAACCCTAATTTTATCTAAAGAATTATGAGTCGATAAAAACTAACTACTTACCAAGGAATGACTAAAAAGGAATCGATTCTTGATGAATAAGCACAATATAACACTTAATTATTATAGAAATGATAAGAAATTAATTAAAATGTGAAAAGAAACGGATTCTGTCAAAAAGATTGAAATGAAAGGAAGGGGTGCCAACCTTAATTATATCTAAAATAAAAAGTAACTAATTTTCTAAGAAATATTAATAATAAAATTATTGATTTAAAATTAAAATTGTTATTAAGTTAAAAAATTGGAGTAATCTCAACATTAATAAACCCGAAAATCTTGATAATCATTTTTAACCTCAACCCAAGTTTAATTAGCAGAAAGTTTGCTTTAAAAAAGAATTTTGAGTCGATAAAAACTAACTGCTTACGAAAGAGTGACTAAAAAGAATCGATTCTTAATGAANTAATCATTTTTAACCTCAACCCAAGATTAATTAAAACAAAGATTACTTTAAAGAAGAATTTTAAGTGGATAAAAACTAACTACTTACGAAGGAGTGTCTAAAAAAGAATCGATTCTTGATGAATACCCGCAATAAAACACTTAATAATTATAAAAGTGATAGGAAATTACTTAAAATGTTAAAAAAAAACCGTTTCTGTCAAAAAAATCGGAATGAGGAAGGGATGCCAACCCTAATTTTATCCAAAGTAAAAACTAACTAATTTTCTAAGAAATAATATTTTGCACTTATTAAATAAAATATAAGCATTCCAACGAAAGAAGTCAATAAACATAACTGATTTTTCAATTTAAGTAACTATTTTCACTCACTTTCAAAAAATCATAAAAAATCAGAATTTCAATTCATGATTATAAAATTATCTGCACTAATTATACAAGTTATAGGCTTTCCAATGAATGAGACCGATTTTGAAAATATCTTTTAGTTTTTGAGATATTCATTTTTAAACGTAACTCGTTTTTGGGATTAAACAACAATTTTCGTTCATTTTCATAAAATCATAATAAATTGGAATTTCAATGAAAACTCATTTTCAAAATATCTTTCAGTTTTTAAGATATTAACTTTTAAACATAACTGATTTTTCGATTTAAGTAACTATTTTCACTCATTTTCAAAAAATCATAAAAAATCAGGAATTCAATCCATAATTATGAAATTATCTGCACTAATTATACAAATTATAGGCTTTCCAATGAAAGAGATCGATTTTGAAAATATGTTTTAGTTTTTGAGATATTCATTTCTAAACATAACTCTGTCAAAAAGATTGAAATGAAAGGAAGGGGTGCCAACCCTAATTATATCTAAAATAAAAAGTAACTAATTTTCTAAGAAATATTAATAATAAAATTGATTTAAAATTAAAATTGTTATTAAGTTAAAAAATTGAAGTAATCTCTACAATAATAAACCTAAAAATCTTGATAATCATTTTTAACCTCAACTCAAGTTTAATTAAAAGAAAGATTACTTTAAAAAAGAATTTTGAGTCGATAAAAACTAACTACTTACGAAGGAGTGACTAAAAAGAATCGATTCTTAATGAATAAGCAGAATTAAACACTTAATTATTATAAAAATGATAAGAAATTAATTAAAATGTGTAAAGAAATCGTTTCTGTCAAAAAAATCGGATTGAAAGGAAGGGGTGCCAACCCCAATTTTATCCAAACTAAAAACTAACTAATTTTCTAAGAAATAATAATAAATTATTGTAAGATATCATCTATGTTGCATATTCTTATTGAACTAAAACTAGAACTAACATAAGACCTAGAACTAGAAACATTCGGATTTAGCCGCACGTCTTTAAAGACGGCTAAACCCGAATGATTCTAGTTCTAGGTCTAGTGTTAGTTCTAGTTTAACACTAACACTATCACTAGAACTAAAACAAGACTTAAAACTAGAATCATTCGAGTTTAGCCGTCTTTAAAAACGTGTAGTATTATTTTATTTAAAAATATTTGGTTCGTTATATCCGAAATCCGTTATAATCGAATTTTTTTTTACTGTACTAGTAACATTTTAATGACTCAAGAAAAAAGAATTAAAAAAAGAAAGAGGAAATGCAAACTTCATTCTTGATTTATCTTTATCTACCTACAATATTTCATCGAATTCTTTTCGATCTCAATCACCACAGGAACGATTTAAACGTTTCAAATTAAATAATTCGAATTTTTTCCAAACATTTTTAGGTATTTAATTAAAAAGAAATCGCAAATATTAAATTAAACGAATAAAAATAAAAGAAAAAGTGTTTGATAAAAATAAAAGTTAAATCTGAAGAATTTGAAGACTGAAAGAGTGATTTTAATAACGGAAAAAAAAAAGTTTTTCGACCTTCTTTTTAGTGCGTTTATTAATCGATTTTGTTAGAAATGAAAGGGGGAAGAGAGAAGCTTTGGTCGAAATTGTCCAGCACGTTCTTGAGAAAATGGTGTAAGTACAAAATGTTTAATGATATTTAATTGATGAGAATCAAATTTATTATAATTAACGCCATCTAATAGCGGGTAGATGTATTATCTATGATTTAGTATCATCACAGAGATTGTTGCCATGGTTACAATTCTTTTTATCGCTGTCATTGTCAAATAGCTGGATTCTAATCTAATATTAATGTTGTGCAAAAATAAATTTGTCAAAACATGTCTAAAATACATTGATTAAATTTCTGAGACTAATTTAATCGTATACTAAATAAATATTAATATTAAAAACCTAAAATAATATTGAATAACCTTTAAAGTGAGTCCAAACATGACGCATTTATCTCAAAAAACCAAAAAGTTCGAACTTTCAACTTTTAATATTGACATATTTGTCAACTTCATAAAAAATCCTTTAAAATGAGTCCAAACTCGACGTATTTAACTTTAATATTAATGGAGATACAATCACTTCCGGTTTGAAACGTCAACGTCAATTTTGACATATTTGTCATCTTCATTAAAAAACCTTTAAAATTAGTCCAAACACGACGCACTTATCTCAAAAAACAAAAAAGTTAGAATAAAAAAACATTAAACGCGAAGTTGGCAACAATGAAAATTTTTAAATATTAATACCAACCTTAATTTTTGATTATTTTTTATTAAATTTTTGTTTTTGTGACAAATTTTAACACATTTTATAAAAATTAAGAATATATCAAAATGACATTGACATTTCAAACCGGAAGTTGCTTATATCTCGAGTAATATTGGAATTAAACGTATCGTGTTTGGACTCATTTTAAAGGATTTTTCACGACGATTACAAATATGTCAAAATTGACGTTGACATTTTTAACCGGAAGTTGACCATAACTTCA